AAATGTTCACTACCTTAATGACATCCTTGACATACGTTGAAATTATGAGTAATACCCATGTTACACACTGCTTTCTGACTCTCATAGTAATCCAGAGATTTAGCTTCTTCCATCAAATGAATTCTTGCTATCTGAAAACTTTAAGTAGCATGCTACAGAGCAAAGCTGAGGGACTTTAAAACTTGTGCCTGCATCTAGTTCTTGTTGCTGTGCAGAGGTCATCAGTTGATTACAATCACTTCTCCAAGAACTTAAACAAGTGCCACTTCAATGCTGGGCTCAAATGAAGGCCTTACTCAGAGTCACTAGTAACATAAAGGCTCCTGCACACTTGTTTCACTGATTTCACCTTCCTGGAAAAAAACTGTCTCAGGGAATGCAAGCATTTGCTTATCATACAAGAAAAATAGTATGAAAAATTGATCCAAAACTACCTGCCTGACGAATCCAGTTACTCAAATTGCAAACAGGCCATTCCTTAGATTCCTCATCTTCACAGATACAGCACAACTAATCCTCTCTCTCTCTCTCATCTAATTGCATGGACTCAAGACATCAGGTTCTCAATCACACAGGAGAAACTTAAGGTGACTTTTAGGGTGGGCTTTAAACTTTTAGAATTATGCACCACAGCTGCGTTGTCATCTCTATCACCAATGGGTCAGAAACATTAACTTTTTGACATTGCTTTGAAGACACCAGTAGGGTTTTGCTACGTTTCAAGTTGACACCTAAGCTCTATCATCCCAACTTTCTCAGAAACAAAAAAACAAAACACATCAAGCCAGCAGAAAACAAGGAAAACACATTCAAAAAAGCTATTACCTGTGAAATCAGTTGGGTTATCACCTTGACAAAAGAATACTTATTTCTTAGAATATAATCAATCCTGCAGGTTACTTTGAATATTATGCTTGCTCCAGCCAATCTGACTTCCCGAGAAATTTCTTCTCCTATTTTCTATTGGTTACTTGCTGCTTCCCTTGTCTGTAAATCAGAGAGCTACTTTCAAAGGCATCCACCTAGTATTTCAGTAGGTGCCAAGGGCTGAGGAAAGTACAAATTGCCAGCTAGCTTCAGTAACTACACACATCCATCCAAAGTATGCTGGGGAAGAGGAAGAGGAAGCCACTCATGGGTGAAAGGCCAAATCAATTTTCTTGGGTCAATTTGCAATCACGACAAAACTCTTGCCAAATTTCTTGAGTTGGAAGCCAATTCTGCTAACAAAGCTATGTATATTTGAAAACCAATATCCTCTAAAGCTCTACCTTGTGGCTTAATGCAAGTGGAAACATGTTGTTGACCTTGGTATTTTCTTTAATGATAACTTCTAGGAAGTGGAGAAAGTAACCAACTATGGCCTGGTGTGCTAAGGATCAGAGGATGGTTTGAAATTCAATACCCACTGCTGTACTCTCGCTACTTGGGAAGTGGGACTTTGGGCAAAATGGATTTCCATGGATAGATACAATTACTGGTGTTCTTTGCAGAATAATCAGTCCTTTTTTCATTTTTGCTTGGTTTAACAACCTAACATGCGGACAGTCAAAGGATAGCCAACTGCTGCTCGGTCCATCTGCTTACATTTGACTCTGATGAGAAAGCTACACACGCACGCACACTGTAGAAAACAAATTCAAAATTCCAACATTGCGCTCTCAAAAGCTTGAGAAAGCCTTGTGTGATGAAGTGACTATCTAAGTGAATGAAAAGAAATCCTAGCTGGGTGGAAATTGTCTTTAAGTGATTCTTCAGATCCTGTGAAGTTCACAGATTTAAGTCCCTTTTTTAAATCGAGGATGAATCCAACACAACCGGAAAGATCACAACAGTGGCTGTTAAAGAAGCTTGAAAATTTTTAACCACAAAAAAGATGCTTGCAACTTGAAAGTACAACTGTAAACTACTACTCGCCACTACTGATGGTTGAATGTTATTTTAACGACGAAAAAGTCCCATTGATCCCACATTATGATGGGGGAGGGCTGAAAATTGCACTTATGGAAATCAAGGTGTGTCTTCCTTATCAGCAGCTCTTCTGCATTGCTAGTTGCATTCTCTTACAAGGAGGGCAAAAGTCACAACCAATATCTGCTAGTGAGATTAGCTTTCCTTGCTAAAGGAAGTTCATCTGAATAAAAATTTTGTTACCTTCACCATGTATATTGAGCCATGAGCACCACAAGAACTGCTAACAATGAATATGCTTACTCCACAGGTAATGATTTCGGTGCGATTTCAGTTTGATTTCATCATTTTGGTGCTGCTTCCTTGCTGAATAGCTGAAAAAGCTTCAAAGCATGCATTCTTTGGGCAATTCAAACATCCTGACTTCTACTATGAGATTTGCCAAAGAGTGTCTGCATTCAAACTGGGAAAACTGCTTGCTATTTCCATCAAATGGGAGCTGTGAAAGCTTTTCTACACTGATGGCAAAGCTAATTCTGGAATACTACTGGCATTTCAGCTCTTCACATCATGTCCTATCACTGGGGTAGATGGTTTCAAGATCCTCAGGGACTAAACTAACCGGGCAGCTTTTACTTTCTCTCATGTTGCTACTTCATTTTGCATCTTTGTTTAGGCTGAATCATAGGGGAAGATGGTTTCAAGATCCTCAGGGGCTAGACTAAATGGGCAGCTTTTACTTTCTCTCATGTTGCTACTTCATTTTGCATCTTTCTTTAGGCTGAATCAGTGTCCAGTCAGGTCATATGTATCATGTTAGACATCTTATGCTAAAATGTCAATTTGTTTTGTCTAGGGTAGCAAATTAATGTCTCTCTCTGTCGAAATGCATTGGCAACGCTTTTATACAATGCTAGGCTGGCTTTAAGGGTAGTGAAGAGGAGAAGAACAATATCAAATGACTAGATGCCACAAACCATGAAGAGAGGAAGAGATGCTCAACTTTTGTTTAAGGCTGAATGGCAAATACAATCCTTGGTAAACTTTATTTGCACTGATCACCATACATAACACCCAGGGATGTGTTAAATCTGTCCATGATAGGTGCAGTTTTGGTGCTGAAGTAGCAAACCAGGCACATTGATGATACTAATCTAACGCAGGAATTGTGATAAATTCATTTTTGTCAGCTTACATTGCTTGAATCCAGCTTCCACTGAAATGCCAATGATCTACCAATTGCTGATGACCCTCTGGGATCATTCTCTCTGGCTTGTATTGCCAAGTCTACTTGACTGCATAATAATAGAGAAACAAACAACACCCTGCCCAAAACACTACTGCAATTACAAAAAACGCATACTTCTTTTGATCTACTGTGAATATCTTGTGAGTGGACAAAAGACGATTGGATAACAGAAATACCTGATGTTCTGATTCCAGTTGCTGAACTATGAATTGAAATGCCTGCAAAACACTTTGCAACACAACATCCATCTACACACACACACACACACTGATCTCGGATTCAAGACACTTCATAGTGATGAAACAAGGAAGTGGGATGTCTGTCCATTCCTTTGGAGAGCAACAAGATAACTACTAATACTGGCTCTGAGCTTTCCACTCCACTAGTTCAAAAGTACTCTTTAGGTGTCAAACTATCTACCATCCACGCAAGTTCCATAACCCATTTCCAAGACTAGCATAGTTGTACCATGAATAAGTAGGGACATGACAATGCTTCCTTTAACCACGACTTAAAGTAAATGAGGTTTTTATCTGTATAGATGTACTTAACATTCTTGCTTTTTCCTTTGCAAGGTCTGATAGCTCCAATTGGACTTGCTTGCCAGTTTCTTGGCACCACTTAAGATCAAATCAAAGGAACAACTGTTGCAAACCCTAACAATAACTACTATTAAAATATAACAGCAAGAACCTGTATGCAGCAGTGTCAAATGAATGGAAGTCAATGTTATTTTTAGCTACATGGGCTAAGCATATTACCTTCCCCCCTCAATTTATTGATTTTTTAAAATCCTCATTTCTAGCTTACCCTCTTCAAATTATTAGCTCTAACTAACTGCACGTAATATCACTACATAACAAGCCTTGACGTTTGCCTTTAAACTTGTCCCCCAGTGCATTTTCAGAAGGTAAGCAGCTGAACTAGAGAGTTGACAAAAACAACTATTTCAGCTCCTCTATTTGAGGCTTTACAAGAAAACAGTTCAAAAGCCATCTGCAGACATTCAATTTAAATGAACAGGCAAATGCATTGCATTTACCAGTTACTTCAGCTGTCTCCGTGCACACCATTGATTTCTCCCTTTCCTCAATCGTCACTTGACAGCATGTGACCATCAGTGTTGCACAAGGCTTCAAGAGAAATGACTTACATTTAAAATCACTAATTTATAATTTTTCCTCTTCATTTGCAACACTATTGTTTTCAAACCATTTGCCACAAGCAGCAATTCCCTTTTCGAATCAAACTTAAGAACAAGATTATAGCTGATCTGATTTTAATTTAATTCTGTGGCAAACTCTTTGTGAACACAAGCCTTTTTCGATACTTAAAGCTTCTATCTTAAGTACTTCACAACTCTGAATATAATACCTTCTCTCAGAAGCTTTAGATGTACTCAAGGCAAGAGATGTTAATGATGGAACATCTGCTGTAGAACAATAATGTTCAACCTGTGACTGTGAAGGCAATCAATAAATAAGTGAAAATTTATCAAACCTTGAACCCTTATGTATTCACATAAATTTTATTCACAAATTTATAATAAATAGTAATATTTACAATTAAAAAAAATAGTTTCTATCGCTTCACCACTTATCAAATGTACAAACATTTGCAAATACTCTTACTTACACTTACTCGTTCACTTTTTTTTTTTTAATGTTTTTTTTTAAAAAAAGATCAGGGAAAACCGCGAATTACCCAAACTTACAAGAATAATCTTATCAGTCTAGAAAAATTACTGGAATATTCCTCTACGACCGCTTAAGATTTCTTAAATTTTCTTTCCTGCAATGGGCCTTCACAGGCTTTCCTTGCCATTACAGACAATGAGATATCACGTCTCAGAAATGGTAGACGAGTTATTTCGAGTTTTACAGCTAGTACTTAATTTCTGAAAGAAGTCGTCGATACCTAAAAGATCTTCATCATCTTGGTAGGATGCTGTCATGTTCCATCCAAGTCCGTCCGGAGACTCTTGCCATTCGTAAGAATCCTCCAGTTTTCGACGTTTCACTTTTTTCATACATCTGTCTGTGATCTCTTCGTTTAGTTTTTGTACTGTCAACTCCAACACAGCGTTTCTTAACATGTCTGGATCCCGTCTCCTTTTGTTCGCTTTCTTCTTCTCTAAAGATGTCGTTAACAAAGACCATAATTCTCTGTCTGAGTACACGGAGTGTTTGCTGCGTTTAGTCTTGACGATGGGACGGCTGTGCATGCTATTTTCGCAAGGAAAACAGTAAAAACGTTAAGTTCTACTACCTCTGCGCACGCAACGGAGGAAACCTCTTAATACGACGCTAGCCAATACAGAGGTGAACTGAACCCTTTCGAACTGGTTTACACGCTTTTGCTGTCTTATTCTTCTTGATTTTGACTTCTCGTCTCTCTTACGACTCCCTTGATACTGAAGGTTGTCCTGCTCAATCCGAATTTATTTGAACAAAGACAGATTCGATGTACCAAGTTTTATAAGCGACGCAAAGTTGTTGAATGCTTGAACTCGTTGATACGTGACACTTTTCACTACAACCCACAAAATAGATTGCAAAGACGTCTCTTTGATGGAAATCTTTCTCGCGAAGATACAGGTAAGGCTAAGTAATAAAGCGATGTAAAGAGTAAGAATATACAGCGTGGAGACTTACTTCTTTCAGGTGCGAGCGATGCCCCAAACACTGACCTACGCAACAAACGTTTCCTTTACGTACAGAAACACCTAACTAGTCAAACTAGATAAACAGGTTTTAATCATGTTTTCAACCAATCATCTGTAGAGAAAATTGAAAACAAGCCAATCACGATACAATATTAATTAATGCAATGTTGACGTCAAGGGATTACGTCATGGCCGATTTCGTATGTACGCAAGCTTGCTAAATTGGGTAATATGGATGGGGACTTTTTCTATCATTTTAATCACATTTTAAAATAGAGGATAACTATGAAAGGAAACTGAAATGTTTCCAAAATGACCATTGTGTCCATTTTTAATTTAGAATATTAAAAAATCCCTCAGAGTTTTTCTTCACAAACTTTCAAAGGAGGCTTGTAGAAGCATGCGATCGTACGTGAAGGCTTTCACACCTACACACCTCTTCCTGTTAGCTTGAAGCCAAAGATCATGCGCTAAAAATGCGTAGATACTGATTTATTTTTATCCATTTTTCTCTCAGAAATTACTCGAATATACCCTTTGAGAACAATTAGTAACGTTTTTATATGTCAGCTGCCTCTACTTACATGGTGATGATGTTACTAGCGGTTGATAATTTTGGTACAAATGGCTTCCCATATAATGTACACATAAATTGCGCATACGTCCGCAATACTATAAATGTGTGTGATCGATGAAAAATCCCGCAGGAAAAGGGTAAGGTCCAAATAAAACCATGAGGTATAAAAGATTCACATGGGCCATAAAACTGACTAAAAATTTGATTTATGGAGTAAAAGAGAACTGATTCATGGTTAGATAATAAAGTGGTTTGATGAGATTAACTTAGCATAAATGCACTGATGACATTTCAACTTTGTGACAAATAATTTCACTAGTAATTATGAAATGAGTTCTTTCATCATCCAAGTTGATTTTGCAAGAATAGATCTCAATTGACTAGGTGGAGATTGCAGAGAAAGAGGTAGAGGAGGGGGAGGAGGAGGAGGAGGAGGGGGCAGGGGAGGGGGTGGGGATGCTTGTTGCAATGATGTGAGTGTCACTGCCTCTGTGAGTTGAACCAATGATGATGAGCAACAACTTGTTTCCCTCTCTCTGGCTCCATGATCATTGTCAATCTCTTGCTGTTGTTTGTGAATATTTTGCTCCTTCTCCCTTTGATTCAATTCATTAAACATGGCTTCTTGATTCCTTGAAACAGAGTTTTCAGGACTGAAACGAGGTAAGTCATATTCCCCTTGATTTACTGTCAGATTATCCCCTTCTCCAACCTGTTCACCTAGTAAATTAAGCTGAAATGGAAAAAAAAAAAACATAAAATGTGTCTAAACTAACAAAATATCATATCCAGAAAATATTAAATTCTAATTCCTCCCAATTTAATTCATAGTTCATTACCTGAGAGTTGGTAAATAGGCTTGAGCTTGCTTTAATTGGAGTGACTTGAGTACATTCATGATAACCAAGATGTTTATAAAACTCGTACTTATTAGATGTTGTGAGGTAAATTGCCGTCAATCCTAGCCTAAAATTGAAAGAATAGATGCAAGAGTCTGTGGGTGAATATGAAGAATAATGCATTTTCTTACTAAATCGTATGTAAAAAAGAACACATGACCATTATCATGTTCATGTATCTATCATTTCAAAATTTCTAACAAAAAGTCCATTTCAACATTTATAGAAGATAATAACAAATTGCAACAAATGGGATTTCTTCCAATGTCAGTGGAGTCTGGATTCCCAGGTGAAATGATAATACTACTACTCTGTTCCACCTAGGGAAAATCAGGACGAATACTAACAACTGTAAACAAGTCTACAGATAAATTTAAACATACTTTAATAATGAAAGAGTTGAAAACTAACTGAGATGCATAGCTTTCTGTGAGCTGCATGAGCTTTCTTCCAAGTCCACATCCTCTATAAGCCTTTTCTATCACCACTAATAAGTCAAAAAAATAGTTAGTATTAGACATAAAACATTCTAGAATTATTTAAGCAGTAGACCACACTTTCCATTGATTTACCCATGTAATAACCCAAGAGAGATGTTGGGAGAACATGAGAAAAGGAAAAACAAAGATAACCAAAAACAGATAACCTGAAAACAATTACTGAAAAAGGATAAACAAAGTCTAAAACAGGGTAATTCTTTCAAAATTTTGGAGTTTCACCATGCCTTTTCTAGACTTAGCTCTCATTGAATAAAAACTGCAAGGAAATTCAAAACTTTATCTCACCACAAGTCAAAAATGATGCCTTTGGTTTTCCCAGAACCTTGTTGAGTCTACAGTGACCAATGACTCTTGTATGTGCTTTGTCATTTTTTAATGAAATAATGAGTGAACATGGAAGATCATCTTGACCTTCTGCTAAATAATGAAGTCTGGAAGAGATAGAAATACTTTCAAAACCAAATTATCACTGACACTTTCACCATGCCATTTGACACCTTAGACTGGTTAGATAGTGGGTGGGTGGGGGGTGGAGAGAAGAGGGAAAGGGTGTTACTCTAACATTCTTTCTCTCTTGAAAAAAAGGCACCTTTTTTGTCCGTGGGAAGGTTTAGATTTTCCACCAGAATTTCTTATCAGTAACATTAAAAAATATAGTACAAAACTGATATCTCTGGATTGTTTGAGAAATGAGGCAAATAAAAGTAAGACAATAATGAGCTCATTTTGAAGCACAGTATTCTTAACAAATTGCAGAGAACCATGAAGGAAAAGAGGAAAAGAAATCAACAAAATTAATAAATAAATAAAACTTCTGGTACAAAGTAAATATTTCCCTACTATTTTTTATGCTTAGGAACCAGCCCTATTTCACGTAAAATTTTGGAAGTCTGTAGGTTTCTCCAACCAAATATGCGTGAAAATAGCTTGCGAAAAAAAAGTCCCCTTCCACCCCACCCCTTCACCTGAAAAGGAGTGACTTACATCCCTGCTCCAAATGAGCATTTTCAGATTTTATTTCCTACAAAATAAGGAAATCTTACTCACTGCTTACCTCCCTTCCAGAGTTTTTGACCATTCAGAATTCAATAAAATTGCCGTCTCCTCCAGAAATTCAGGATGATTTCGCAAAAGAACAAATGACAAGTTTTCGTCTTCCATTTTAATCGGCCATATTGAATTCTTATTATCGACTGGGAACAAATTCGTTCCCAGCCCAAAACCGTTACCGCCGATTAGATCATTAGGTGAGGAGACACATACCCACTTTAGTGCGGGTTCACTATAAATTTTTTGAAGATATTGCAAAAAGAAAATCGTGACTGAAAATATGTCTACAGTAAGAGAAAGACCAGAACCTTTATCAGGAAAGGACGAAGGGTATGAAGTAGTGTAAATAATGTTGTTTATATGTTTGTACTTTGGACTGAGTTATCGTCCCTTGTTATTAAAATAACTCACTTGCAAAAATTTTGATCATACGTGCAAGAGCTTGATTATATTCTCGGGCCTCCTATAATAATGTGTCTCATAATTTTTATATTTACCTTTTCCTTCTGAACTTAGTACATATCCCGGCTTCCTAAACTAAACAGAGAAATTAAATCATAGAATTATTCCAGATCACTCGGGAAGGGGTTACTTTCTTAATCTCTGGATGGGTGGGTGATGCAGCAATGATTCGCCTGTTAATACCTAGATTAGGCTAAGTCTACAAGTAGAACTCAAGAGAATTAATTTTACTACCCTTCACTTTACTACAACTTCTCTCAGGCCACTCAAGAGTTTATTTACAAAAGTTTAAGGACCAGTTATATTAATCAATTAACCAGTTTAGTAAGGAGTGTGTGTCTTTTGTTTAACTCTGTCAAACTCATGTTCATTCTTTGTATTTTTGTGATAATTGAATATTTCTTTTTTATTTTGTTTTATTTTTTAGATCATTTGCCTATCTTACAATAAGAGATAGACTACCAGTGATTCTGACCAAAGTCATTGACTTAGTTCACAGACAAGCATCAGCATTGTCAGAGTCCAATCAACAGGTAGGCTAGGTAATAAAAATCTGACACCAGCAAATCTAGAAGAACAAAGCAGGATGAACTAGCCAAGGCTTGATCATAGACCTCAAGATTTGGAGTCTTAAAGATCCTAACCACTTTAATTCCCCATATAAGTGACCAACTCCTTGGTTTTCAATGATAAAGTTGAGATAGAACAAAACGATGAATGGCATTGTGCCTCAAGATATGGCATGAAGCAGCCTGTTTGCTTTTCTATATAATTTTTACCTTGATTGAGACTTCCTTTTCATTCCCTTTATGAGATATTTCTTTTTCAGACTGGTGTGTAATACAGGTAAACAGGAGCCCATCAACTGGAGCCTCTATCTCCACTGAGTCAACCCTATCCTAAAAAGGTTTACTTTTAGAACAGCTTTATCCCGCAAAAAGTATCATATTTCTATTGAATGAAATGCAAATTGTAAGAACTGATTTCACTACCCAATTCATGTAAGCAGATGTTTAATGTAAAGCAATAGGGTGGTCATAGCACTACTTTAATTGGGCCTTAGAACTCAAAATTTCCCCTGATAGCCTTTCTATTCACTGATTGACTCTGGAGAAGGCTTACTTTAAGCTTTAGTATAAGAGATAGAGGCTCCTATTGTTGGGCTTCTGACCAAAACTAGTAATATCTTATGAAAAGAAAAAAAAGCATTCACAGTAATATTTTAATAAAGTATGAATAGTTAGATATTGAAAATGTTTTGTTATTTTAATAGGAAAAGGTGGAGGATAGTAAAGGAGTGATAGCAAAGCTCTCTAAATTAAGATATGAGATGAAAACTAATAAGCCACTAATGCAGATGGAAGATGATCGGCCAGATGTGCAAATTTGGAACAACACCATTAAGGAGAGTAAATCACTGGTTGATCAAGACAAAATTGCCTCCTTTACTGGAGCATGGTTGATTGTTGAATGTTACATGTATCGCAAGATCTATGAAGCTTTTGCTCTGAGGTAAGAGAAATTTGCTAAAGGTTTAAGAAACATCTCTTATTGACCAGTCATAATTTATTTCCTGTGGTGGGGTGGGGAGGTTTTTGAGGCACTTAGCTTTCAGGGAGAAAGGAGAGGGTGTCAGTTTCACCAACAAAGTGCAAGGCAGGGCTATAGAAAAATCTGTAATAACAAAAGTGTCTGAGAGAAAGATTTATTTGTTGGCAATAATACTAGCATTTATCGACTCATCTTTTTAAAAGAAAAAGACACCATAACTCACAATACCTGCCCAAAAACACTCACTTGCAGCACACTTACTATTTGTTTTGTATAATATTTGAATGTAGTACTGTTATTATTATTATTATTATTATTATTATTATTATTTTATTTTATAGCCAGCACCACCAGGACTTTGATCCCTTTCAAGAACAAAAAGAAGAATCATTTAAAGGACATCAGAACTCAGCAATTTCCCTGGCTCAGTTCCTTGATCACTCCCTACATGATTCTGGTGTTGATGATAATGAGAAAAGAAAAGTGAAAAATGCATTTGACACTCTCCTTCAGGTGAGGGCTAAAGATATACCTGTCCATGAGAATTAGACCAGTAAAATAATTTCATCCTATAGATGAATTTTCAAGAATCAAAAGCAATTTTATTTTAGGTGGTAAAAAGTGGTACATAGGCAATAAAATTGACCCATTTCTGTCTGAAAAGGAGAACAATACTCCCCATGCACAAAGTTTTCTTACAGGTCACTTATAAGTGTAATTATGCTGATGTCAGTGCAGGAATTTCTATCTTTTTTTTTTTTCACAGTTCTGTTTGTGGGGAAACCGTTGTGACCTTTCTATCTCTAGTGGTGAGATCACAGAGGAGGAAGGAGCAGGTCAGACAGATCATCTTCAGCGCATGAAAGAAAATATAATTGTTGACAATTCTCAAGATGTCTGGAACACAATTTGTAGCAGTGAAAACCCCAGGATTGATTTTGTCCTAGACAACTCAGGCTTTGAACTTTTTACAGACCTGTGCTTTGCAGAGTTTTTGCTGCAAGTAAATTTAGCCAAGGAGATTCATCTTCATACAAAGCAAATTCCCTGGTTTGTTTCTGATGCTAGCAACAAAGATGTCCTGTGGATGACAGAACAAATGAAAGGTTCTTCAAACAAGTGCTTATCTGAACTTGGAGATCGCTGGATTCAGCGCTTCCGAGAAGGAACTTTCATTCTTCAAAGCCATCCATTTTGGACACTGGCGCAAGATTTTAGTGAAATGAAAAGCATTGCCCCTGAGTTGTACAGAGAGCTGTCAAAGGCAAAGATTGTATTTTTCAAGGGTGACCTGAATTATCGCAAGTTGGTTGGTGATCGTAAATGGAATCATACAACTCCTTTTACACATGCCCTCTGGGGATTTTTGCCAGCACCTCTGTGTTCGTTAAGAACCCTGAAGGCTGATGTCCAAGTTGGATTATCACCAGGTCAAGATGACAAACTGGAGGCTATTAATAAAGACTGGATGACATCAGGGAGCTATGCTGTTATTCAGTATGCTCAATGCTTAGACTGATGGCTCTCAGTAATTAAAAGGAAAGAGATACAACAATTGAAATTTCACTGGGTAAACATCAAAATTTTTACTGTGACAATAAGCAACTGATGGCTTAAAAAAATGTGGGTCATAGGAACTTAAACTTAAGTTGAATATCTTGTAGTAATAACCTGTGAAGTCACATTAATTTGTGTTCTTATTAAATATTTGCCACCATGTGGTAAGATTTCAGAGAAAGAACTTTCAATTGGTAACAGTCAGTTATTTACCATCAGTATTGCCTTTCATTATGAATTATTTAAAAAAAAGCGGTTTTAAGTGTGTTTTTTTGTTTACAACTTGAAATAATATTCATCACCCACATAAGGGGGAGCTTCTGCCGTAATGTGATGTTCAATTACAGATGCCAATTCCTCTGAAGTCTGCTATTTAACAACAAACTTCAGAAGAGCAAAACATCAAATTGAATGCAGTGGTGAATACTGTTCATTTGGCCAGCAGCTTTTAATCAAGGGCTCTCACCTGTTTTTTTGGTTTTTTTTCCAATTGATATCTAAGGATTGTGTTACTTTATTCTATCTTTAGTTATTTCCACTGTAAACTTTGCTAATTAAAATAAATTATTCTCTATAAGACTTCTAGTCAATAAGCAATTTCAAGTTTTATTTTTTTTAGTCCTATTATTACAAACTTAACTAATAATTAAGTCACTATATTTAAGATTTACTTTATTTATTCTATACTTCATCTCTTTGAAAACCTTGTTATGCCTTTCACTATTTCTACAATATAAAGTGAATGATTTTGGAACATGTTGCTTCTTTCATGAGAGGAAATGCTGATGGATTACATTCATAAGTTGAAATGATGACATGTTATTAGTTTACATCATTACATCAAGCCTTACTTTAAATGAAATTGCTACTGGGATTTTAAATTATTTTTTGTAGGTTTATGTATTTATTTGTGGTACAGGGTTTAATAGGAAAAGAAATAAAAATAAAAAACCTGCAGTAGTCTCTTTCAAATTCTCACAGAGTTCACCTGTTACTTTCATTGATACTTCTATAATCATTCAAACTTGTTTGGGAGAAATTTTACTCATTCTACTGAGGTGAGAGGGGAGTGACTTAGGAACCTGTTCCAGGCGTTTAGCAAATAAGACCATGTGAACTCTGTGCAAAATAATAAATGGTGCAATAGCAGCAGCAGAGCCAAAGCGAGGGAGAGTATGGTGCAAAAATTTACAACTAGAAAAGAAAAATCCTGTTGTTTCTTTATCCCTTTAAACCCTTACAGTGACTAGAATTTAATTTCTCCCTACAATATCACTCCTGAATTGCACATTAAGGTCATGAGAATAAAGGAAATGGTCACAAGGGAAGGAAGCTTTTGATTGTCAAACAAATTCTCCTTGTAAGCAGCTTAGGAAATGTATAAAGAAAAGTGTGGAGAATATGCATACTGATGTTAGGATGTAAAGGGTTACAGGGCTGCTTGTTTCATTTTCTTTAGCTGTCATTCTGTGCCCCATTGTGCCACACCCCTATAAAAGAAAGTTGTATTCTAATTATCACAATATTGTTTGAGATGTGGACTTTGTTATACATTTGATGAAAATTAGTTGAAAAACTATTTCAGCTTGATTATTATTCAATTCTCACCTACAATGTAATATTCACATAATGAAGCTATCTAACTAGGTAATCATTCTGAGAATTAACAATTTATCATTACTGAAGACCTTTTTGTTTTGTGGGCAGTCATTTGTGTATCAGTATCACTACTCTCTGATTGAGAGAGAGACAGAGAGAGATGTGAAATTTCACTGGGCATAACTTGTGAGTTTCTTTTCAATTTCATCAATACTTGAGAGGATATTTGAGAGCTGAGATTCATCCATTTCAAACTGGAAAACATCCGTTTCCTGAAAAATATGTATAAATGTTTATCAATACTATTGTGGCAAGGGGAAAGACTTAATTTAATCTTGTCGCAATCATGCAACAAAGCAAGAAAAGTTTGAGTCTCACAGAGGAATAGAACCTCAGATTCCACACTCTAATGCTCAATCTTTGAGCCACACAGATTGACCTAATGGTAAGCAAGGCCATTACAAGGTTCACATGTGACATGCAACCTGCACACTGCTAGGACCAGCGATATCAAAAATGTTGTGTACAATTAGGATAAGAAACTAAGATGATGGTTAATTTTGAGCTTGCTGTTAATGTAAAGTAAAACTGTAACCCTTAGACTTCAAAAAGTGACAAACTACTTCGAATTATTTAATTTATTCCTAGTTCCCTTTGTGCTCGTTCTGAACACTTCTAAAGTTGGAAATTGTTGCTTAGAAAAGGAATGTGCGTCTTAGCTACCCCCCCCTCCCCCAGGACGGTGATGCCTGCAGTGCTCCAGCCGAAGGCTATGTGTTCTACAATTGGGAGATATGAAAGGATAGAAACGATTAAAAAATTTTAAAAAATAAAATACTAATACTCTACCTTATTCTCAGTTGATCGTTTCTCAACCTGCATCTCCACGATAGCTACAGGTGTGTTGATCTGTTGAAGATGTCTCCCCTGGCTCTTCAGATCAATCCTCCAGCTGATGTCCTTCAATCTGTTATTCCACGACGATCTCTGGACCAAGACATCGTGGATTTTTACCTTTTGCGATTTCCAGAACTTTAAAAACGCTGCAGCTTGTTCCTGGGTCAGTGAGCCTTGTTTTCGTCTCGTCTGAGATGTCAGAAAGGCTTCGAGTTGATTGAAATCCATATCCGCAGATACGATATTTCGCATTAAATTCTCGTATCTCGACAGCATTGCATCAAATTGCTCTCTTCCTAGGTCGGGAAAAAGTTCTTGGTGCAGGAAGTCGTCAGTGATTTCCGATTCTTCGAAATATTCCCTTCGTGCCAATCCATTTAGTAACCCCACTACATTTTTGTCAGCTGAAGCCATCTTTGATTTAGAACGCGCGTCACTTGGTTGAGCATACATGACAATAAATTAAAATTACCTGGCCAGCGGTACCATACATTATGTAATCTTTCCTTCCGTCAGCTTGGTACAATGTTTTCAGCTGTGAGGAAATCTTTGAACTGTAAACAGTTTTTGAAACTTAGAGTGTGTTCTTTATGTACAGCTGCTAGTAAAGATACACATGATTTCTATGATGTTACCATCATTGGTGGTGGAATGGTCGGCTCGAGTTTGGCTTGTGCTCTTGGTAAGAAAGAGGACTTCTCCATGTCGGGATGTTATGCAGTGATTCAGCCACTGCATGCAAACAGTCTTTGGGTAGTTCTGTAAATCATATGTGTGTTTTTTCTCTCCTCAAGGACTAGAGAAATCTTTGGATGATCACAAGATTCTCTTATTAGAAGCAGCTCCTGACAGACCTCAAAAGATCACCTCAGTATACAGCAACCGCGTTAGCAACATCACACCTGGTTCCAAAAGGCTTCTGGAAAGTAAGTGCTATTTGATAATAATTTTATAGCCAAGGTTATAAACTTAACCCTTTACACTTGTACACTGAAAGTTAACATCAGTATGCATATTCTACATACTGTTCTCTATACATTTACTGAGGTGCTGACTAATACTCATAATTTCTTTAATATTTACCTTAGTAAACAAGACAGCTAATGAGCTTAAAATCCCAATACCATGGTCTACCAACAAGTATTTTGAATTCATGCATGATTAGATTTCTTGTAAATACAAAGATCTGTTTAAGTTGTGTATGATTATTTTTGTTGTAAGGTATTGGTGCTTGGGATCATATTTGTGAAATGAGACAAAAGCCTTTTAGAAGGATGCAAGTAAGCATTAAAATTATAATTACTGCTTTATATTTTCATCTTATGTAAGGGTTACTATTTTTTACTCTGTCTCTCACCTCATAAATCTGTTGTTTTCTTCATAACCACTGAGCCTTGTAATCTTGGGAGTGACTGAGGAGGAATTTCTTGTTACTGCAATATCTATGCATAAACAGAAAGATAATGAGAAGAAAATAAAATAATCAGCGTGGAGGTATTGTGGATATAACTTGTAATTCTTGATTCTAAGAACATGGGAAATGTTTGACAGATAATGCAGAGAATCAGAGAGTAAAGTCTCAGGAGGTAATTTATTCATGGTTATGACGTTCTTTTGTTTTTTTGTTTTTTTTTTGTTAAGGTTTGGGATGCTTGCAGTGATGCACACATCACATTTGAATCAAGTTCAAGGGATTTGGATGGTTCAAAAGACATGGGATTCATTGTAGAAAATCCTGTCACCCTTGAGGCCCTGAGAAAACAGCTAAAAATGCTTCACTCACGAGTGAAGGTTCTGCATGGAACAAAGCTCAAGAAATTAAGTTTGCCTGATTTAACAAAAGATTTGGTATGGATGGATATTTATATGAAGTTAATATTTTATCTTTTTTTAATACAAATTTTGCTTAATGAAGAAACAAGTTTGTGTTAAGTGTTATTATCTCTTCAGAAAGATTACTTGCTACCCATAATCCTTCAACAAAGAAGTAAATACGAGTCAACTGTCAGCTGAAGTTTAAAATCATTAGGAATTTAAATTCATTTTCAACTTTTCCATGCTATAGTTGTAATTTTTTTAAGTAAATATTAAATTAAACCATTTTAACAGTATTGGTGGACTTGAACATAGATTGATTTCATATTCAGGAAAGTTTTGATGCGGTTCTAATTTCAAATCTGTCACACAAGCATTTTAAGTGATTTGAAAGAATGAATCCATGGATGAATGCATGATTATTATCAGAGCTTTACACAAAAATATTAGCTTGATATCTTTGTTAAAAACCATGTGACTTTGAAGGATAACAAAGATGTTAGTCATACATGGGCTTCCTTGGAGCTGGAAGATGGAAGGACAGTTCACTCAAGACTAGTGGTATGTGGTAAATATAGAGAGAATTTATGGTTTCTTTTCCCACTTTATCACAGCAACAAGTACCTTAGAACATATACTAAGTCATTGCATGAAGTAACTCTTATTTTAAAATTCAAATCCAAGTCCTTGTTTTTAGAAACCTATTAATTTCCAAGTCCATTCTAAAACTGGCATTTAGAATCAGGTTAAAATAGTGGTTTTAGTCCTAAATTTGAAACACTTAAAATTTGTTGCACATTCTCTACATGCCAAACTTAAAACATGGAATCATGTAGGCTGAGACACTACAAAGCTAAATGTTGATGGCCTCTAGTGACTGGACACCCAATGAGCACAGCTTTGGGTTTGGACTATGTATTGTTTATAAAATAAGTGATCCAGTTCATTCCTTTGTAAGATAGGAGCTGATGGTCCACAGTCCCTGGTGCGGCAACAAGCATCAATGGATTGCCTCTCCTGGAAATATGATCAGACAGGAGTTGTGGCAACTCTTCAGTTGGGAGAGGTAGTATTATGACTTTGCAGGAATCTTCTGTAAAGATGATGCAGCTTTTACTTTAAAAAAAACCTTCTTGCTCTTTGTTAGAAATACTGACTGATGCTGGTGAAGGCTACCTGAGTGAGGTTTTCTTCAAGAGAAGAACTTCAAGTAACTGTCAGATTTTTGTTTAATTTTAAAAAGTGTTTCTCTGCTGTAGATTACAGATAACCTTGTTGCATGGCAGAAGTTTTTGCCCACAGGACCAATAGCTCTTCTACCAGTGAGTATAATTCTATGGGATGATGTTAAATGCTTGATCTTTCAGATCCCAGTGCATTCACAAAATCACTGTAAATTTATTGCAGTCTTTTATCAATTGGGTAAAATTAATTTACTATCAATGAAATTTAATCTTAAGTTGGATGGTCTCTATCTCCTGCTTCCCAAATTAGAGGGATCTTTTGGCTTTCCAAAGATCCCATTATGAATCTTTAACAGAGACTTAGATTCATGTAGAGTAGAGACCCACATGAAAACTATTTGATGTTTAAAGAATATACCAGGAAAAAGGAATGAAAAGATGATACGATTAGTTTATTGTCAATCAACATGATTTTCCATTTTTTTTTCACAATTATTTTAAATTAATTTATGGTCTTTGTTTAGCTCACAGACAATTTAAGCTCATTAGTGTGGTCAACAACTCTGGAACATGCGAAACAGCTGGTCTCATTAGAGGAAGATAGATTTGTTGATGCTGTAAACAGTGCATTTGTAAGTTTTAAATATAATATATATGTCTATCATCTTAGCTTATTTTTTTTTCTTTTTCTGAGCATTTTACCCCAAATAGTGACTAGCATTGTATGTCTCCATCACCCCGGAATCACACATCATGCAGGGTCGCAAAAATACTAGAGTTTAATATTGATTGTTGAACAAATTCTCCTTGTCAGCATCTGAGGGAATGTATAGAGAACAGTGTGGAGAATATGCATACTGATTTTAGGATGTAAAGGGTTAACATGGTATCATTCCATATTGGAAAGAAGCGTCAGAATTCATAAATCTATTTTGTAGGTCATTTGTCAAAATTTGATTTAAAGAATGTTGTAATTAAGAACCAAAATGTCCAAGGTTGTACATTCTAAAAAATTTATGTTTTCTTGAGATGTTCTTTATTATAATTATCACACATGTGATACAGATTGAGACCAACCAAGCGTGGCCTCTTGGCTGTAGTATATGAAAACCTTTATGTTTCCCCTTTTGTAAGCTTTTATTTAATTTTCTTCTTAACTTTTGCCTTTTCAGTGGGAGGACTTGGACCGCAATCCTTTGGTGGATCAAGCCACAAGGATGTCATATATGTTAGCTTCTTTCGTTCAGCCATGGACAAGTAAGGTCTTTCCTCCCAAGCATTCAATTCTCCTTTCCATTTGTCCTTCTGTCTCCCTCATTTTAAATTTCCTGGCTATGTAAACTGATTTATTGATCAGAAATTATTTTTACTCCTTGGCTAGCATCTCTTTATGTAACTGAGTCAACAGTTGCTATCAATTATTTACATTTATGAATCAACAACATTGCAGTTTTTAAAATATGTATGGAAAACTCTGGGCCAAATTTATATGTTGGGTATGTTGGCTGCAGTGCTCAAATCTCTCATTCCTAATTTTGTTACTCCTTCTAATTCTTTGTATCAAAAACTCTTACACTGCCAATTTGTTTCAGAGGTGGGGTCTGGTACCCAGTCTCCCCCTAGTGTGAGTGGTGTTGAGGAAGGTAGCCGAGCATTGTTTCCATATGGCTTTGGTCATGCCATGGAATATGTCAGACCAAGACTGGCTTTGATAGGGTGAGTTGGTCTTTTTGTTATAATGGTGACACTTGTAAGATGTGTTCAGACAATTTGTACATGACATAGAGACCCAAGAAGGATAAAACTGCCTAGCACTTTCACTTGTGTGTTCTAACTACAAAGTTAACATTTATGTTGAGTTCTCCATATTTCTCTTATAGTGATGCTGCTCATAGAGTCCATCCTCTAGCTGGACAAGGTGTCAACATGGGGTTTGGAGACGTTGCTTGTCTAAGAGATGTGCTGTCTGAGGCTGCACAGGAAGGAAAAGATCTTGGTGATTAAGAATCAATCTTTCTCAAGATCTATAATTAGTATAAGTCAACACGTTACTCTAAGTACCTGGTGCATAACTTGGCTCTTGTCACATGAAGTGATCAGGATTGTTACTCCATTTTCTGAGGCTTGTCCTGGCAGTTTTTTGGTACCAAGTTAAACTTAGGGTGAAGGGAGACCTCACTGTGAGAGCTTAACCTCTTTAAATCCCATGAGTGAGCACGATAGAATTTGTCCTAACAACATTGATACTATAGCAAGCAGACAAGTGATGAGAACACAGAGAAACAACAGGGGATTATTAGTTTATCCAATAACAAATTCTCCAAACTAAAATCATAAGAATTGTATGACATACAGGAAGGAGAATTACTTATAAGATGTGAAAGGGTTAACAACACCATCACAGTGACCTGCCTTGTATGCCAAACGTCAGGCCATCTTGACCCCCACAACTTTCCCTGAGCAGGAAGAGACATAGCTATGCTATCTTAAGTATTTTTGTAAGTCTTACTACTTTAATTTATAAATCAGTCAGTCATGATTAAAAAAATACAAACAAGATAACGATCAAAGAAAGTAGAAAATCTCTTGGCTTACTACTCAGAATTGTATGTCATGATTCTATCGTCTTAGACCCCTTTTTCCATTTCCAGGATCTCTGGAGCATCTTTTAACATATGAAACAAAACGGCAGCAGAGTGTAGTCCCTATGATCACAGCTATTGATGCTCTCAAGAGACTTTACTCAACATCAAGTCCTCTCCCAGTTCTTGCACGATCAGTGGGGCTCATAGCAACCAGTGCTATGCTCCCTATCAAGGTAAGTAAACAGTTTTAGTCAATGAAATTTAATAGTTAATTTGATTAACAAAGTTTACCATTGGTAAAAGAAATTAAGCCAGAATTGATAGAAGTATTGCTACTAAAAGGGGTTTTGTATGGGTCCTGAAAAACCTGGAAAGTCCAAGAATTTTATCTTGACACTTTTCAGGACTATCCAGTCTTGGAAAAAGACTTCAGGTCTTGGAAAATCCTGGAAATCTGCTTACCTCAAGCAATAAAATTTTCAGAATTTCCATGATAAGAAATGTTTGAACTGATTTTGAAATCGTGGGAATGAAAAGGTTAATGTGAAATTTGGGGTCCTGGAAAAAGTCAATCTGAGCCATAGAAAAGTCCTGGAAAAGTTCTTGAAATTTTTCTCTGAAAAAAGGAAAGGAACCCTGTAGTAATCTCTTTATCAGGCAGAAGCACTAAAGGGAAACAGAGAAGAAAGACAAGTGTCTAAAACTGCCTAACTTTGATATCCCCTTTTCTTCAAACTTTTTGGAATCCCAGAATATATAAATGATTTGTCAAATAATTCTCTCTGTTATATTTTTGTTTGTAGGGACAGATTATTGACTTTGCCATGAGATAGTGCCACACTGATCTTAAAATTCTGGTCACAAAGGAAGAAGCAATGCACCTTTACAAGAACATAGGTAGCAACGTGATGTTCAAACATTGCAGCACACAGAGTTGTTTGATGATGTTTTAAACTGTTGTTAAACAAATTTATGAATAAAAGTTTTTCTTGAGCAAGATTAACTACTCAAACAGTACCTCTCTTCATGGGAACCTGTGATTTGCTAGGGGAAGGCTTATAAAAATTTTGGGAGAGGTGGGGGAAGGGCTATAAACTGGTATCTGATCTGTGAGTATTATGTCACCTGGGGTTGCTGGGAGGTTTTCTTTCAGCTTTTGCTGTCAGTTTTGCATCTGAATTTATATTTAATTTACCCCAACCTATCTAATATTCAAAACCATGATCTTCCAAAAATTAAAAAAAAGGAACAGAATGGTATCACATGACTACTATTTATGCATTTTTGACCTCTTCCCAGAATAAAAAAATAATTCCTTATGTATCCATTACAAACACAAGAAACATGTGCCAGGGAATCTTTGTTAGTGAAGTTTTTATTTTACTTTACTCTTATTTCTCTATCTATTGACAGAGATGAACCACATTTTGACTGAGCTTACACAATTGCTCAATGTTACTAAAACACAACTTGACATTAGTTTCTTGTCAAACTCAAAGTGTATCTTGAAAAATCTAAGAATTCAGTGCACCCACTATATTGAATAAAAGAGTTAAATTGTTATTTAGTAAAACCCCCTATTAATTTGTACCTACTTCTGATTCAGTTTGTAAAGCTTGTATAAAACGTCCCTGGCCATAACAGACCAACACATAGTTTCTCAACACCCTTTATAATTTATTACATCCTTTGGCAAAATAATAAGAGTAAATAAACTCTTCAGTCTGAGATAGTTATCTTCAAAACACTAAGTTTGCTCAACTAGTTTTGCAAGAAAAAGTTTCTACTTAAAACAAGAATGGGAATCATGCAGAATTAGGGGTTAAACCTAGAACCTACTCAATCATGACAGATCCTTATTCTCCTTGAGTGCAGTGATAACACCAAAGAGAAAAAGGCTAAGAACTAGGCTTGATTATCTCTAAAATCTTCCCAAAAATTCATTGTTCTTTACATTATCAGAGAAAGAAATAAAGATTTGATATTAATAGCAGTGCACAGCACAGTCTAGTAAAATAGAAGCAACTCTTGTTATTTACATAGCTTTTCATCAGAAACAATTCTGACAAGTTAACAGATACTAAATACATGTCAGGATGTAATACAATATGAAACTCACAAAGCTTGAAACACATTTTTATATGGAATGTAACCAAAACATTAATTGGAAAATCCTTACCTTACCTTACCCAAAAGAGTATTTTTATAATGCAAAACAAAGGCAAATAGTTAAAAAATTATTTTGGGGCACAACTTTTGAGAACAATGTTGAGTGAGGCCATTTTTTAACTAGACAATGAAAATGACAGTTGTCATTGACATCAATCCTGAACCATTAGTAATACCCAAAATATATTTTTCTGGTATTTTGCTTCCTGCATAAGAATAGTTTTTTGGAAGAAAAAACGAAAAAATATGTCCAAAAACTTAAAAAAATTGTTACAACTATACACAGAAATCAGCTACAGCTCAACTTTGACACCTCTACAATTCCCTTGCACCTTGAATTCCCTTTCTACAACTAGTATGGATGATATTGTGTTTAGAACTGTAGGAGAGTATGTCTTTTAATCATTCATCTGGAAAATTATCAAGATTGTTCTTCGAGAAAACCTTCCACAATTTCACCTAAAAAATAAATTTAACACTTCAAAATTATTTTGAACGGCCAACTGCACCTAACCATAATCTTATTAATGAGCTCATGACATTTACTTAAAGGTTACTTTTTTGAGGCCAAGAAATGGGAAAGTTTGTGTTGCAGAAAAATTGAAGACATTGCACTTAACATCGTCGCTATCTGTTTTTTAGTCCCTTTTCTGCAGCTGATGTTATGCCTACATGATGATCATAATAATGATTTACTAAATAATGAGACAGCTCTGATATATTTATGTTGCTTAGTAACATGTTCATACACTTAAGCGAAGTGAATTTTACCCACTCTGTGATTGGTCTTTGTTGAAATGATCTGTCAAGGTATAGACACATGGCTACATAGGAAATGTGTTTACCTAGTTGTTCAACATGGTGCTTGGTTTAAATAAAGTTTATAGGATTACTCTGAAGTTAAAAGATGTGACATTGAAAAATAATTTAGCAGAACATGAATACCATCAAGATGAAATAAACCAAAACAGAAGTTGTTGGTGACCTTGAAAAATATATGCAGTGGAATCTCTGGGCAGTTGAGCTCCTGGGCAAGTTTTGAAATTTTCTCTGCTTTCTTTTTCTTTTGATAAAAAAAGATTCCAGCTTTACCATGTGCCAGTCATTGATTACAGAACACACCAACAATTTGTAAGACCATCAGTTTTTGGTACCATAGAGAGCTGGTAAACATTCCACAAAATCTGAAGCCTATAATTGCTGATGATAAATGTCATCAATGTTTTCAACCAAATATTTAGCCATGCTGCTTACCAGCCCTAAGCTACATTGGCTTTTATATTTATATTTTTGGCTCTTTGTTAATGCAATTCTTTGGGAGTATAACTACAAATTCAATAAAAGGAAATTCCAAGATTCTCATCTTTTATCTCACAGTAGCACAGAATGAAAATTTTGTTTACAAGGTTAAGGATCAATTATACCTTTACTCCTTGAATGATGACTTCAGATCAATGCCAGTATCTGAAAAACTGCGTGTCTATGCCTTCCCCAGTTGAAAATTAACCCTAACTTGTTATCACTTGTCTGTTATCAGGTTAAGGGAGGGTTAGGGGTGCTGTTGCTCAGATACTGACATTGATCCACGACTTCAATAGTAATCAGAGAGAACTACTACTGTGAGATGGTCACACTCCAACATAAGCAAAAATGTGAGGAACAAAGAACACTGCAGTGAAGCCAACCGTTATATATGTGAGGAAACGATGGGGGATTTCTGAAACAGATTTCATCTTCTTTGGATCAGTCTCTGCAAGAAGCCATGGCACAACTGCATGTACTGTTGACTTCATCACTGCACGCGTTGGAATAATCACTCCAACACCAAACAAAAACTTGCCAATCATCCAAAGCATCTCCTCATAACCAGGAATTCGGATTGGGTATGGTGCCCCTTGGTAAGGGTCGGGCACCCCTTGAAAGTAAAACCTTCCCCAAGTACCAAGCAGTGCTCCACAGGCTCCAAATATAATGGTAGCAGTATCTGCTTTCGTCTGAGTGTATTTTGGTGGTGATGGATACATGAGGATCATGATCATTGGAACCACGATGAGAAAAATTGGTGTGTTTGGAGAACTGAACACCCACTTGTCAATAGACACATCCAGAAGTGGAATCACAGTGACAAGTAAAACAACAGCAAATGCAATGCCAACAAGAAGATCCTGCAAATTACCAAAATGCAAATCAAATCCATTGCTCTTTCTCTCTACCCCTGCCATGTTTTAACACTCAAACATCAATATGCACATTCTCCAAATTGTTTTTCATACATTTCCTTACGTGCTAACAAGGAGAATTTGTTAGGCAATCAAGAGTTTGTTTAATTGGTGATCATTTCCTTAATTCTCACTAGCCTTATGTTTGATTCAGCAGTGATACCTTAGTGAGAAAATAGATGCTAATCACACCCAGAGGTTAAAGGGTTAATCAAACAGACATGTTCCTTTTCATGATCAAAGGAAAAAATAAACTTTAACATAGCAATCAACAAAATTAACAAATCAAAATAACCACGACAGTTATTAAAAATAACAATAAATTTAATATTTATAACATGAACATATTCATTTACTTATGCTCATACGTGCAAAGAGAGAAACAAATGTTTCAAATAAACATAAAGTGCTTGAAAATCCCAACTAGCAGTGGACAGATCAGTTGGCTGCTTACACAGCATAGCTGAGGAGTTGAACTCAGGGCAACCAAGGAAAAATCCAGTGAGTAACAGGGTGGAGGGCTTGAACCCAGGACCAGCAGATTACAAGTCCAGCACCCTAACCACTCAGCCATGCTGCCTCCACACACTTAAAAAATAATTTGAAGGGTTGTCTTGTCTGTTATGTTTCCTGCTTATTGGAAAATTCAAACTCCCTTTAAAGATTAGGAATTAAATATGCCACTTCATAAGACTTGGCATTTGACTCAAGCCAAAATCCAAAGTCTTCAAGTTTTGAAATTTCTTATTTTTGACCTAACATTTGGAAGTTAATCATTAAATAAATTATACCAAGTGAGAGTCACAAGTTCTTTTTACATCTTAATCCTTTAACCCTTGAGACTGATTAGCATCTTATTTCTCCCAACAGTATAACCCATGCATCACACAGTTAGGTCACGAGAATAAAGGAAATGATCACAAACTAAATATTCTCTTGATTAATAAACAAATTCTCCTCCTCAGCACCTTAGGAAATGTATAAAAACAGTATGGAGAATGTGCATACTGAAGTTAGGGTGTAAAGGGCTAACCCTTCAACTTGAGCTCTAAAGATCCCAATACTAATTCTCCCTTCTTGTTGCCATTAACTCTTCCAAGTGAACTAGACAGGGGAATTTGGTCTTATTCCAAAACAACACCCTCTTTCTGATAAGCTTCTCTGTTCTCACGATCTGTTTACATTCTGTTAGAATTACAAGGAGAATTTACATGTCAATTACTTTTAGGAGATAAACAGCTAATGTGAACAAAGCTACACCTGGTAACTTCTTCTACAAGGTAACAATGACAAGGGTTCCAAATTGATATCAACTCTTAAAGTGAGAGGGAACAGGAACACTATAAAACAAGAAGCATGAGACGACTTTCCCTCTTGACTAGAGAAATCACATTCTTGTGCTGACAATGAAATATTTGAAAATAAATGTATATACCTGCAGTGTGTGCATTCCCATGTACAGACGACTGGTTGATACCAGAACACACCAACATATTCCAAATATAACACCAATGTATAAGGGATACTACAACAAAAATAAAATCCATGTGTGAACAACAGTCAGTTGTTTTGTTTTTAATCTATTAGATTGTAGAATTTTATGTTATTACATAATTGTGAACCTTGATAAATATCTCTTTTAAAAGATGGGGTAACAAGAAGACTTTGCTGGTAGAATTCCTTGGAAAATAAGGTTATAAATGCTATCACCCTGGTCCAACTTCCTTGTAATCTGGAACTGCAAATTCCAAGGAGGAACTCAAAATTTGTTCATGCTTCTTTTCAAAGACAATGAAGATACTCTGATAGCAATTTGTAAAGCATTTTTAAATAAAGGCAAAATGCAATTTGTATTGTTAAAGGCTGCATTTGAGCTTGAAGTATTTTGTACACAAAATGAGGCAAATTAGAGCACATCACTTGACACTGGAGACAGTACTTGATTTCACTAATTTTTGCAGGGATCATTTTTTATTTCCTTATCAGCACCTTGCTATCAAGAAAATGATGCAAGTGGTCCACCAATCTCTCAAATTTGCCTTTCAGAAATTTTGTCTGATCTGAGCTGAATCACTTCTTGACATCCAAGTAGCCATGCACTGAAACTCCTTACAGTCGCCAATTTATGTTATCATTTTATTTGATAATACTAATTACCCTGTTATACTCTCCCACCAATGCAGCACCACAAGCGATCCACCGATCTCTCAAATTTGCCTTTCAAAATATTCAGGAACTTTGTCTGATCTGAGCTGAATCACTTCCTGACATCCAAGAAGTTATGCACTGAAACTCCTTACGGTCGCCAGTTTACGTTTGCATAAAACGGTCATTAACATGACAGTGTAGCAAGCCATCGATTCGTTACGAACGATGTTAGGACAATTATCTCTTTGATTAGCATGTTCCCACCTCAAGTGACATATTTACATGGTCTGATTGCAACAACAAGTGTACAAGGAGCTAACCCTTAACATATTAATAAACTTAACAGGTACAAACCACGACAAAAATGAGCTTACCTGGTAACGATCGTAACTAAAATACACCAAACAAAACGGAATAATAGTCCCCACCATCGCGTGGGTCGACGGCATGCCATATTCCACTTGGAAACGTTTCTCCACAGAAATCACAGGAGGAGATGGCGGTCTTGGCCACTGAATGACATCTTTGGCACTCTGGCCTAGGTACATAATAACAGCCCATAAAATAACAGTTCTTCGAGCCAGATATTCGTCAATGTTCCAAATCAAGAAAGGAAAAAATGTGAGATAAAACGACTCGTAGCCCAGAGTTGAACCAAACACGAAAAGCGCGTGGAAAAATCTGTTGCACTCGTACTGCTGGCCTATTTTCTTTTCCTTGCCAGCTGATTTGGACTTCTCTAGTGGCTCAGGCTTGACGAATCCGTTTCGCTGATGGGCGTGATTTGAACCGTTCGTGAGAAGATGGTTGTTGTGTGTAGAATATCCATCGGAAACATGTCCATTTCCTAACGACGAGGAGTCGTTCTGATCACGCATCTTGGAGAGGTCATCTTTTTCGTCCACCCTCCTTAGACCAAACGTCTGTTGGAATTTAGCGACAACATAAGGATCTCCTAATGCTTTGAGCATTGTGAATAAGTGTCATCCACAGCTAGTTTGAGCGGAACTTGGGGTTACGGAGGGGAGTGTGACGTGCCGGCTGCTTGCAAGGGAAGGTCGGGCTCGGTTACTCAGGTGGATGTAAGGGAACTCTTTACCTACCTAATATGGATATGCATGATCACGCCATGCCGGGTCACTTGCAGTACACGTGATAAATGGGGGACTCCCTGACCCAAAAACGGATGATTTCCTCCCAGGGTTTGTACATTATTGTGTACAAACTTCGTTACTTTCATTTTCAGAATATAAGGCTGAAAAATTTTCCCCATCGATCTATAAACTGCAGCATGGAAACAAAATCCAGAATTAGAGAAAGATGGTTTTTTTTTAGCTCGGTAAAGAGATAGAGAAAGACGAAAAAAACATCTTTCTCCATTTCTTTATCGAGCTCAAAACTTACTATCTCTTTTATTTCTATCTACAAACATTACGCTTTCGACAGTGCTGGTCCTAGCAGTATGCAGGACGCGTGTGATATAAACTTCGTAATAGAATTCGTTTATGGTGAAGTCTCTGTGGCTCAATGATTAGAGCATCGAGCGCGTAGTCGGAAGGTTTGAGATTCGATTCCTCACGGAGATTCAGAATTTTTCTTTTGTCATATGTGACAAGAAGGAAAAAAAGCATCTTTCTCTATTTCTTTATCGAGCTCAAAACTTACCATCTCTCCTATTTCTATCTAAAAAATCCCGAATTACTCCCAAATTTTCAAGAAATTATTTTCCATTCTGAAAGTTTGAAAATTTCTTAGATGAGTCTGTCTGTTCCCTGTATCCTCATTTTTGCGTCATTGACGTAATATTGGGTAGCATCCCGATGAGCGGGGAACTCTGAACAACCGATCCCCAAAGGGTGAGCGCTCTATCTATTTATGACAGGCAACAAAGGGAATTTTCTTCAGGAGATCATCTCGGGTCGATTTTTGTACTTTGCACTGTACTTTGCTTTCGCTCATGAATTTGAACAAGTTTTTAAAAGGCTGTTTGCACTTCTTTACCTTTGCTAACCTATAAGACAGTTTCCAAAAATGTATTCTATGCCTCCTTTTTACGGATAGCCGATTAAAGACACGAGACCTCCACGCAAACTCTCAAACGGATGATCTCAATACACCGGAAATAGAAAAAGAAAAATGTTTCAGTCAGTCAGGATCATGACTGAAACACCTCACGCGCGCGTACTAGTCACGAGTGGGAAAATCACTTCAGCACCCGGAAGCCCATTTTTGATAGGGCCGCGAACATCACAAATTGGCTCAAATTACCGAGCTCATCTTTTCAGAAGACACATGGTTTGAGGAATTTTTTACGTTTCGCAAATTAAGATCAATTTGTAGTAGTACAAGGCACAAGAGTTTTTTTAAATGCATTTTGGCTGAAAATAATTTTTTTAGAGAGAGATAGAGAAAGAGAGAGAGAGAGAGAGAGAGAGAGGGGGGGGGGGAAATAAACTGCAGAAAAAAATTACAATAATAGGAAATTAAAATTCCAAACCACATTTTAATGGTGTAGTAGATAGATATGCATGGAAATTAAACTCTTTTCATCTTCTTCTCACGGGAAGTTTTTGATCTCTAAGATCAGTTTTGATTTCTTGAATAAATCTTGTGATATCAAAGAGCAATTACCTTTTTTGCTAGTGATGGGCAGGGTAGGTTTATTGGGGGAGGGGGAGGGGTAAGGTGGCCTGGAGAAAGTGGGAGAGGGCTATTACAAGAATCATCTACAAAAAGAAGGAAAGAAAGAAATGTTCAAAAACTTTATCCTGAGTATTTAAAATGTTCAGCTAGAGCTCCATTGTTCAAAACTTCTTAACAGAGATATGTCTTACAATCAAATTACTGAAAACATTGTTTTTAGCATTTTACAATCTACAGTCCATATCCACTGTGTTTCTGGGTAATGCTGAGTAAATTATGCATCATTGGAAATGTTTAACATACACACTTAAAGACAAAAGTAACATAAGCTCTCCAAAAACATCTCTTGTCCAGTAGATTGGACTTCAGCCAGATTAAGGAGTCCTATTTTCAATACTGACAAGCTGTAAGGTCCCTTCATAAAAGTACCTTAAAGCAATTTCCATAACAGCAATTTATAATCGAATCTTACAAGCTGCTGTTTTCTGATTTACAGTTGTTACAAATGTTTCTCCTTAATTACCTCTTTAACTCCCAAGATCCAACAAGTAAGTCTCCCTTCTGACTGCTATACATTACCTTGAGAACTAGACTGGAGAATTTGGTGTTCTTTCAAAATAACACCTTCCAAATGATAAACTTCTCAGTTCTCATTACCTGTTAGCCAGATAATGTATTTGAATCACAAGGAGAAATTACATGTTAATTCCTTGTAGGTGTTATAGGGTTGACAGATGAAGTAACACATGAATGGAAGTTACATTTATAGTAACAATAGTTTATTCTCTCATGGATATTTTTCAACAGCATTGTCACCACCAACTGTCCTTGCCTGAGCTCTTGTTCGAGGGTCTGTCGATCGCCAGTTCAGCCGGACTTTTAAAAAGTCTGAGTGTTCCAATCCCAAAAAGTCCTAAGTGAAAAAATTATTAATTAAAAGTAACATTGATGCAGTGTTCCTAAATGAGGGAGGAATGCATTCTGGTTTGAACCCCATGAAGCACGTTTTTTCAGTTTTCTTCACGCTGATAATAGTACCCAACTATGATCTGGTTGGCACAGTTTCAAACTGTGTCAATGCCTTAATATTTTCAGGCTTCTTTAATTGCAATCCCCTAAATACATGCAGTTCAACTGCAAGGATTGTTTCATCATTTACTTTTAAGAAAAGATTTTGGCATGTTTTCACCAAAGAAAAATTCTCACATACCCACACCAAATAATCCAGTCATGACCTTTGCTGGCATGTTTGAAGCTGGGATAGTCTTGACAGTATTCAACGCGATGTATCCACAAACATAACACACTGATGCACCAATGAACTTACAACTCACACAATCCTCATTAAACTCTATGTCGAGCTTCCTAACCAATGCTGACCAACTGTCATTGGTATTTTCCTGTGTAAGGAAAAGAAGATGAATGTGAAAAAGATGCATAAATTAAAAAAGGAGGTTATGGATGAAAACAACCATCAGGTTACATAATTTCATTAGTTTTTTTAACCCTTCATCTTCCATGAGTGACCAAGACAGAATTTCTCCTTACAATATCAATACAATATCAACCAGATAAGTGATGAGAATAAAGAAAAATATAAATTTGGGGAAAATTAGTTAATCCAAAAGTAAATTCTCTGAACTAACATTATAAGAATTGTACGGTTGACAGTAAGGAGAATTACAAATTTGATCTGGGAGATAATTAAATAATAATCAAAGAAATACCACTACAACTTGGTAACCAACTCAAAAAATAACACAATCGCACGATGTCAATACAGTACAATTTGTACTCTTTGTACACATTCAATTGCGGTGTGACTTGCATACGGTGACGCCACTTTCCATAATATCCAGGCTGTATAAAAATATATTTATCGCGCACAAAAAAGAAGGATACCCATACCTCCTTATAAACTGGTTTTGGTTCTTCCACTACATCAGGTAACTTTTCTAACGGAGGAAGTTTCCTGTTGTCTTCTGAGTTAGAGGAAGACGCCATTTTGTAGGCTTCATTGAACATGTTATGTACGCCTGCATGAATTCTAGTCATTTGGCACCAGTCTATGCAGAGCTCTTTTCAGCTGGTGTGGCTCTCTTTAGATACAGCGTTAGGGTTTTCCTATACAATCCGTTTTCATCGTCTTGCTACAGAACTTGATTGTAAAGTTTACACGTTAAAGAGTAAGGATATTAATTGAGGAATTTGTTCACAATGCCTGAGGCGAAGACAAACGCTGGAGATGGAAATAAACAAGGTGCTTTCAAAGACAAGGATAAGCCCACCGAGATTCGTATGAGTAACATCACAGCAGCAAAAGGTGAGTATTTCTGCCTGTGATTCAATATCTACAACAGGAGGATTTACAAGAGAACTATTTTGCGTTCTTAGCTGTTGCAGATGCGATCAGAACAAGTCTTGGGCCTAAAGGGATGGACAAAATGGTGAGTGACAGCCACATGTAGCAATGGAGCTATGCAGTCTTGTCACTATCGGAGTTTTGTTGGTGAAACAAACGTGTTCACTTTGTATGGTTTCACAAAACCTCTTTTTGGCTTAAATGTTGAATTTTTGTAACATATCCGAAATTGAAATGATGACAGACTTGATACGACAAATTATCCAGACTGGAAATAAAGGTTTGAAATATATTTTTCAATTTTTTTTGGCACTCAGCCAGATTGTCAGCCGGTAACTTTGACTGATTTCCAGCCGTCAACTTTGACAGATTTCCATTTCCATCTCTTAACCCTCTGACCCCTTAAGAATTATATTACCCCTGAATTGCACAGTGAAGACATGAGAATTAAGGAAATGATCTCCCAAACTATGATAGGATGTAAAAGGTTAATAAATCAAGTTTTAAGCCTCACAGCCTTAAGCTTTGCAGCTTTACGAGTTAGTCAGCCTCATATACTCTCTTGCATTTTTTCATAGATATTTTGGGTGATGAGATACTGGTCTCTGTTCTAATTCATATTCACTTAAAAGGAATTGTAACAAATCCCTCTGTACAGCTTAGTACAATGCTTATTCCAAAAAATTGAAATTAATGTTGTTTGTGTTCTTGGCTACTGTCTTAGATCCAAAGTGGAAATGGTGACGTAACAATCACCAATGATGGTGCCACAATTTTGAAGCAAATGCAGGTGTTGCACCCAGCTGCAAGAATGGTAAAGTGGTTATTTATTCATATTGAGATATATAGTAGAGTTTCCTGTTAGTAGAGGGAGTGGAAAGATATAAAAATCTGCCAGTGGGTGAATTAGCTATGATTACCAACTGCATCACTAAGTGGGGGTTGGGTGACCAAGACATCCAGGAGCTTCCACTATTGGCAGCCAGCTCCTAGATGGAGACTGCTCCCATGGCTGGCAAATCCTGAGAACCCAGCCACGAGCTCTCAGGCAGGAAAGGGAAACAGGCACCAGTCACATTGAATAAACAGTGGAAAGAGGGAAGGAAGAGGGAGAAAAACAGCCTGGATAATGAGCTGGCACTTCAAACAATGCTGAAAGTTCACACTCAAAGCTTTCACAAGAAAGCCTTAAATGAATAGTACATGGAATTCCCAGGCACACGCATATGCAACAATAGCAGACTACTAGAGAAAGCTGATGCTCTTTGTTGTTAACTCTGTTAAATTACATTAAACTGCATATAATTTTTACTGCAAAATTTATATGTAATGTTTCTTGTTGTAGTTGTATGTTGTACTCCACTACTGATGTATAATGTGAGTCTGTACCAAGTGTTTGTTTTTACCCTCTTCATTAAATAGCTTGCCCACATTTCTGGCTTGTTATTCAGATGGGAGGGAGAAATCAAATGGTTGCTCCAACAACTTTACTGTAACTGATACGTTTAAAGTCAATAGAAGCAATCAACATGGGCTTGTTAGGTGTACAGTTGTACATTTAGACCATCTGTAAAGTATGAATTAATGTATCTGCTGTGTTCATATATATAATGCCTTGAGAGTCTTAGTTATAAATTTTTTTCATGCAGTAACTTGTTTCCAGGACTACATTTTTAAGCTTGACTTCTTGAGTTGCAATGAAACTAGTGCTTATGTGTGTTATGCAGTAAAAAGTTTGTTATCTTTTCTCTCATAAATGAGTTTTAGGTTTTGATACTACTGACAGCTTTTGTGTACCATCTAAACCACATGAGTTAAAATTGTATATCTATTATTGTGATTTTAGCTGGTAGAGTTGTCTAAAGCTCAAGACATAGAGGCTGGAGATGGTACAACAACTGTAGTAGTGATTGCTGGAAGCTTACTCAGTGCTAGTGCTAAACTACTGGAGAAAGGTAACTTTTTACTACATACACCTTAAAAGGATTAATTGTATGTGGAAATTAGATACAGACACCATGTAAGATTTATCTCTTTAAATGTGCTTGGCTAGATAGTTTGAGCAACATTAGCATCTTCTTGAGTTATTTACATTTAGTGTAATGGAAAGAATGACATTATACCCTCTTCATTTAATAGCTTGCTTGAACCAATGGCTTGTTATTCAGATGAGAGGGAGAAAAAAAATGATTGCCCCCAACAACTTTTTCATTAATCTTTTAATGTTAAGGTCACTCTAGGCAACCTACAACTTTTCTTAAAATTATTTGAGAAAGATTTGGGCAGAGAACTCTTAAAGTATATCTGTACCAACTTGTTTACCTCCTGTTTTTTTTTTAATTACTTGTGGTCCTAGAGATAAAACAAAATTCAAAGAAAACGTTGATTAGAGTCTCACAAATTATTTATCTTTAAAGTTTGGTCTGAGAGCATAATGTACAAATGTACCTCAAGATTTGGACTGGAAAATTTACCTTCCAGAGGTAGAAAGATGTCACAAAATTAAAGACACTAAAGTGATCAGATGTATTGATCTTTTTTAACAGTCTTTCTTCATCATTGTAGGAATTCACCCCACCACTGTATCTGAATCTTTTGAGAAGGCAGCTGCTAAGGCAGTGGAAATACTGACGACCATGTCCTCGCCAGTTGCTCTAAGTGACAGAGCATCTCTACTGAAAAGTGCAATGACATCCCTCAGTTCTAAGGTGATGGGGCTGGCACCAATTGTGTGTTAATTAAGTACTGTCGAGTAGTTAACTCTACTCCACTCCACTTCCAACAGGTTTTAAGCTGCATGAAAGTGTTTTTCTGACATTCTTGTCTTCTTTAAATCTGAGTAGTGTTTTTTTGAGATTTTGACATCTCTTTAGATGTTGTGTGTGGTCTTAATATTTCCTTTCATTTCCTCATCAGGTTGTCTCTCAGTACTCAAATCTTCTGGCACCAATCACAGTTGATGCTGTCCTTAGAGTCATTGATCCTGCAACAGCTGAAAATGTTAACCTTAAAGATATCCGAGTTGTGCAGAAATTAGGGTATGTCGTTAAAATGGATTTGCTTAAATTTTGCCCAGTTCTGTTTCCATGTAGCAACATTAGGCTGCAAAATTGCTTCTCTGTAAGAAGATTTGTAAAGATGGGTACAGTGTGCAAGGACTCTGGTTTACAGCTATGATGACCAAATGATTGCCCCCATAATATTCTTCTGTGATTAATCAATCTGCACCATTGAGTGCTGTCTGAGCTGTTTCCTTGTATAGTGTTGATATTTTACCATAGTGAATATTTTCGGTCTGTTTTGGTTCAGAAAATTTTCTGTCTTGAATGTTCATGATATCACAATTTCTGTCTGTGACATGACTGTCAGACAAATAACTTGAATTGTGGAATTAACTCCAAGCTTTGATTAACTCATCTTCGGAAACTCTTGCTTCCTCTTCTCATCTTGGCATGGTCTTGAGCAATATTAACAATTCTTTTACCTTCTTCACTGAGATGGTTGTGTTTTGTTTTTCAGTGGCACAGTAGATGACACAGAGCTGGTGGAGGGTCTTGTTCTGGAACAAAAAATCAGCCATTTGGCTGGAGGAATATCGCAAGTGGAGAAAGCCAAAATTGGACTTATACAGTTCTGTATTTCACCTCCTAAAACAGATGTAAGTTTGAATGGATTGATAACTTTGTGTGGATAGCAAGTAAAATTCACAAATCTGTATCTAATTTAGTAAAAGATAAGCAGTTTTTCAAGCATGGGGGTGCACTGATTTTGCCGATAGGCCTAGGCAACATAAACCTGTTCAGATTTCTGATGTTAATATAAACAAGACCAATTTTCTGTTTACTATATTCAGAGTTAAAAATCACCCCAAGAATTCACAGTAATCATATTAAAGAAACCTTTTTTAACCCTTTAATTCCTGAGAGTGACCAGCATCTAAATTCTCCTTTCAATATCACCCCTGAATCAAACATTAAGGTTATGAGAATAAAGGAAATGATAACAAACTGAAGAATCTCTAGATTGTTTAACAAATTCTCCTTGCCAGCACATTAGGAAATTTATAGAGAACAGTATGGAGAATATGCATACTGATGTTAAGGTGTAAAGGGTTAATTGACCAGACTATGAATTGTTTTCCTTTCAGATGGAAAATCAAGTAATAGTTAGTGACTACACACAGATGGACAGGGTGTTACGCGAGGAACGTCAGTACATCCTTGATATCTGCAAGAAAATAAAAAAGGCAGGATGTAATGTCCTGCTCATCCAAAAATCTATTTTAAGGTATGTTGTGCACATTTTTCAGCTTTTGTGTTTATTTGTAGTCTTGTTGATTGGGTTGTTATTTTAGGACCAGGCGAAGAAGGCACAAGTTTAAATTTTTGCAGAGTTTTTATCTTTATCTCTGTTAATATTCTCTGCTGTTTTCTGTTTTACAGAGATGCTGTCAGTGACTTAGCCCTCCATTTCTTGAACAAAATGAAGATTCTTGTTGTTAGGGACATAGAGAGAGATGAAATAGAATTCGTATGCAAGGTAAGTGAACCTTGTGGGGCTAAGGAATTTATTCAAGCAATCCAGGGGAAAATAGTCACAAATAGTAGAAAGATGTAGCCAGAGAACTCCATTTTGAAGTTCATAGAGGTTACTGGAATGGTGGTACACATTTTTGTCTCAAGATTCTTGTCTGAAAGCGTATATTAGTTATAACGTTATATAGGGTTGAATCTTAATTGGAGGGAAAACGGCTGAAAATAAACTGTAAGCTGGTTTTTTTTTTTCTGAAAGTGTTTAGAACTTATTAGTATATTGATATTAATCTTGATTTGAGTCAGTCGTGACTTAAACAACAATTTTAGGTTGTCACTACCAGAACTTTGCGTGGAAATGAATGCAGTAAATTTGTTATCTTCTTGATTTCAGAGCTTAGGATGTAAACCAATTGCCAGTTTGGATCACTTCACTCCAGAGATGTTAGCAACTGCAGAGCTTGTGGAGGAAGTACCCCTGGGTACCAGCAAAGTAGTCAAGGTGACAGGGGTTACCAATCCTGGTCGAACTGTCAGCATATTGGTGAGAGGATCCAACAAGCTTGTCTTGGAAGAGGCTGAGCGATCACTTCATGATGCTCTTTGTGTTGTGAGATGCTTGGTTAAGAAGAGGTAACTCGTGAATCATGAAAACGATATCTTACTGGAAGATCACTTCCCTTGAATGTGGTAGGGGAGGAAAAATGTCCATAAACATTGACTCAAAAGGAGGAAGAGTGTGGATATGCAAGTACCAAAGCCTTTTCCTCAAGCTTGTTATGATTGTTAAACATTTTTCTTTACTCTGATACTTCCTTTATACTTCGAGCTTATTTCTATTGGTTTTACGGGCCGAATTTCACTGTACTGCCCCATATATTCAAAGTTTGTTTAAATTGAGATCTTCCCCTTCATAAGCCAGAGTCTTAGTTATGCAACTGTAAGTGTGAGTAACACAGTATGCTTATAAATCTTCTAAAATATATATAATAATTGTCAACGTTATAAAAAAAAGAGATTTCTATCAGAAATCTTCGTACATACCTCTTACTAATCTTGTTTTCTCGGTCCGTACTTTAAATTACGGAACCTTGCGCTTGGGCCGTAAATCCGAGCGGAAATAACTCGGTCTGTGACTTACAGTACGGGCCAAGAAAGCGAGGGTAGTAAGAGGTATGTGTGAAGATTTCTGACAGAATTCCTTTTTTTCAACGTTGGCTATGATTATATGTATGGTAGAAGGTTTATAAGCGTAGCATGTTACTCACACCTATAGTTGGACAACTTAGACTTCGTACCAGATTAACAGGGACAGAGTCATTTTTCATATTTGTTCTTCAACCGATTCATTTCTTATTCATATTATTAGTTGATTTAATTCATTCTGATTCTTGATATCAACAGAGCTCTCATAGCGGGAGGCGGAGCTCCAGAGATCGAAGTGTCCATCAAGCTGGCTGAACATGCGCGCACGTTGACAGGAATGGAGGCGTATTGTGTCCGTGCATTTGCAGAGGCGTTGGAAGTTATCCCTTACACACTCTCCGAGAATGCTGGTCTGAATCCTATTGCTACAGTCACGGAGCTAAGGAACAGGCATGCAAAGGGCGAAACTACTGCAGGAATAAACGTCAGGAAGGTGAGATCCTGGAAATTCTATTCAAGTGTTCAAATGTTTATTTTGTGGACCGTTTTTACTCCACAACAGTTACATATAGAAGTCTGTTATTCTTGTTATACTTTGTCCAACTCCGATAGTTCTTTAAATACCTTGAAGTTTTCTATCATGTTTGGCCTTTTGGCGTTTGGTTTTTGAATTGTGCCCGGCATCTTTAAGAAATGTAAGTTGAGCACAGCGAGATACATTGTTTCATAACTTTTTCTTGGGAAATTGACTTGTTAACCTCAACGTCGTGTGCTACGGGCAGTTTCACTCGTATGGCATTTTTTTTTTTTTATTTGTTGGCAGAGTTTTATTCAGTTTTCTTTTTTCATATTTCATTTTTGTTCATATCTTTGTTTTTCAGGGCACAATTACTAATATTCTAGAAGAGAACGTTCTGCAGCCGCTTCTCGTGTCAACCAGTGCCATTCAGTTGGCATCCGAGACAGTTCGTAGCATTCTGAAGATCGATGACATTGTAAGTATAAATAACTATCATTGGTAAATTTAACGGCCTCAAGTTATACAAGTTATTCTAAGCAGACCGCACGCAACCGGGATATTTTTCCCACTGGTTTCATAATGACGGAGGTTAAGTGAGAGTAACAAGGAGCTTTAGAAACAGCAATATACAATGACAGCTACTTTTTTATGACAGAAGTTAAAGATTAGAGTCAGTGTGTTCAAAACAGGATTACCAAACTTTTGATTTAGCTATTCACAGGTTTAAGCTTTTAGTTCCACCATCCCTTCCTCACAGTAAGATGAGCTCCCACCAAAATCTGGCCCCAATACACGTTGCAGTATAAAATTGGAAAAACCAGAGCAAGAATTAATTTCCGAAATCTTCTTTTACAGGTAAATACAAGATAAATGTCGAAGGAAAGATATCACTAAGAAGCCATGTGCCGCTGGGATGCGAGCGCGTGTACAGGAGAAACTAAAAAGACCACAAACAGATCGAAACCTACTCAAAATAAACTGTTCAGCTTGATATGAACAATTTGCACAGTGTTGAGTCACCAGTTTCTCCATTATGAAATGGAGACATTTGGCAACTGAATTACTCAGAATTCCTGGCTTTCAATATTATTAAAGAGAGTGAAATACTTTGTGTTTAAATTATTATTTAGTTGACGAGTTCAAGGGTGTAGACAGGATCCTTCAAAATGAGGTTCCTTCATCGCTGTCGGATTGGAGAGGGTGCTAAATATTAGTTTGAGAGTCACAAACATGTAACCTGGTGTGTTTCAACCTTTTACTGTCTAACATCAGGATATATATTCTCCATACTGTTCTCTATGCATCCTCTAAGTTTCTGACGAGGAGAATCACTTCCTCTATTCTCGTGACCGCAATGCATGATTCAGGGGTGATGTAGTAAGGAGACATTAGATGCTAGTCACTGGCAGGGGTTCAAAGTGTTAAAAATGTTTCATTGTGCGTTGTTGAACTGTTTGTCAGACATCTCGATAAACTAGACGAGGAACAGACCTAGAAAACGCCAGGGCGTGTCACGAATAATCGCGATTCCTTTCTCTAAATACCGGTAGCAATTCTGTCAACAAGGGGGGTAAGTTTCTAAAGAAACTGGTGCTGCGTCGGTGGGAGAGTGTAACAAGGTAATTTTAGTATTATCGACTGAGTTGATAGCGTTAATTGGCCACCGTAAAGAGTCGAAAAGCTGACGTTTTGAGCTTCAGCCCTTCGTCAGAGCGATTGACAAAGGGCTAACGCTCGAGACGTTAGCTTTCTAACTCTACGGTGGCCAATTTACATTAACAACTCAGTTGATAATGATAAATTGTCAAGCAATTCTCTTAACTCATTTCGTTGCTATGCAACAATTAAAGTAATCTTATGCAACATACCGGCTTCTAACTGTCAGGAGACGGGAAACAGGAAATCGGGAATTTATATAAGACTGACGGAAGGTTCCACAAGTAATTACATTTTAAGTTCATTATTTTAGTTCGCGAGCAAAGAAAAGTGATTCGAATTTGAGGCTGAACCTTGCATCAACCCAGGTGGGTAGAAAATAATAATTTCTGGTGCACGTGCAGGGCGAAGCTGCAAAATACATGTATGTTTTGAATGAACGATCTCACCAGCAAGAGCTTACTCCCAAGCGTGCATAATTGCCATATAAATAAACCGCTGCATTCTTGAGCATCGCTGTGACAAGGTTGGGAGGTTTTTACGCTACAATAAATCTCTTGTTGATTCAGCTTACGAATCTTTAGTGTCTCTGTGAAACAGGGCCAAAATACTCCCCACACTGCAAGGTGGCGACCCCACCAGGACAGCTTGACATATTGTATCGTATCGGTTCGACGGGTGATACTGTTCTTGCGAAGTGAGAGTAGAGCGGAAGATTTGATTTTGAAGGGTTAAGAACGGATTGGAACGATAATCAACAATAATAAATAAACAAGTATAAAAATAGTAAATAGTTTTCCGTAATGGGAACACAGCTTGAGTTACTATGATCATCAGATTGACACCAGGAAATTTTAACCCTTCTACCTTTCCTCTTTCGAGAGGAAACTGGGTTCAAGACAAAGTCACGCAAGTTCGTTGCCATAAACATGGCCGACCGAGACCAAAGCGGCCGTCCGCCGCTACTTCCATCGGGCTATGACTACGACTTTGTTACAGAACTAGATGAAGATTTTGTCTGTCAGATATGCCAGTTACCTTTAAGAAATGCTGTGTTAACTAGATGTGGACACAGATTTTGCCATGACTGTCTCATTGAACATTTCAAACGGTAAGTTGGAATGGTTATTCCAGAACTGTCGTCTGAGTGAGTCTATTGATCTTCGAATGCCTAATGAATTATAGATGAAACAGGACTACCCCTATTTTGGAAGAAGAAGCATATTTCACAGATGATAATTCTGTAATTACTTAGAGCCAATGCCATCATCAATGCAACTTTTTAAGAAGTGTAGTCAAATGTTCGAATCCAAGTCAGCTGATGCAGAACTTAGTTCCTCGTGAGACAAAAACAAGCTGCAAGGCAATTTCAAACTTCATGTTGATGTCCAATTGTGGAGTTCTAGTTGTTTTTATATTTCCATTGTCGAGAAATATGAGGCATTGAAGCCTTGTTAGGAATGAAATCATCCTGATTGGTTTTAGCTTCCTTCTGGTCATAATGAATCAAACCGAGCAGTTAAAAGCTTCGCACGTATCTTGAAAGTCGTGTTTTAAATTCATAGTTTGTTTCAACGCAAACATTTGCGATATGTCAGCTCTAAGGTCCGAAAAGAGTAGCCTAAATCTGGCAAGTGGGTGGGCAAAACTTTGAAGTTTGCCCTAATTTCAAGTTTGGGATGCATATTCTCTGGTAGATGACATTGCACAATTGCCAGCGAGAAATGTTTCGTCATTGAGTCTGCAGAATTTCGCACTACGTGAACCAAGAACGGTTCTCTTGTTATTACAAATCTTCTATTTTGTGGTAATACACAAATAGATGCATGTAACGCGAAGTAAAATCTCTTGTCCTTGTCACTGCATTATCTGAATGCGGGCAAAATTTTGTTGCTTTGCTTTTCACAGTGGGGTTTTTGCAAAACTACCGTAGAAAAACAAGTGGTGTCTTTATAGGATCTCACAATCGAAAACAGTGTTTTCTTCGTCAACATAATGAAACCAGGGTCATTTTCAGGACAACTACGTTATCTTGATGGTTACCCTACAAAATATACATTGAATGTTGACACATTGAATGTTACTTTATCACAAAGTTGCATTTCTTTTGACGAGAGTTCTCTCTTTTTAGAATACAACATCCTAACTGCCCACTAGACAGAACAAGACTGGATAAAGACAAGGTACTTCCTATAGTAGTTTATTCCAAGTGCTTCTGTAACAAAAAAGCTTATTCTCCATCTCACTCAATTTTAAGGCTATTTTTACAAAAAACACACGTAATTGTTATGCCTATATTCCCGAAGTAAGTTGGTTTTTCTTAACTAAGATGTCTTAAAGTAAATGGTTTGAACCCAGGAGTATCAGTAGTTCGTATAGTGTGATTGTCCGGGTGAGTGTTTCCAACATCAGTTCTTTTCAGAACTACACTCATCCGGACGATCACACTATACGAACTACTAAGATGTCTTGTTTAAACCATCTGCTAATACCAGATCCTTTTTCAGTCAAGTTGCTCAAAGATCTTTAGAAAAAGTCACATTATGTACTCACTTATATGAATATTTAAGTTAAAACTTTGTAATTGCAGTTAATTTCTATATATGAAACATTAGCTGCTTTCATTCTGTTCCCCAGATATGCTACTTGTACCTAAAAGTGAAAGAGCAGGGAAAGTGGAAGAGGAGAGAATGTTACTTAAGTTCACAACTTTCCTACAATAAAATTGATCCCAAAATTAATCTTAGCCTCAATCAGTTAGGAATGATTAAATTTGATTTTGATCTGTTTTCTTATCCATCATTTCAATCTTATTTTATTTGTAGGATATTTTTCCAGATAAGGCAAGTGAGAGAAGGATTCTCTCTTACTTTGTCAAGTGTCCTAATAAATGCCAGTGGGAAGGAGAGCTCAGAGATGTGGAGGTAGCTAATCAGAATTTTTTCCTCAAAAAAAAAAAAAAATGAGGTGGATATATTAAGTCCTAGCTTGCTGGTAAACTTTTCCTACTAATTTACCAGCAAACCTAACTTTAGGTGCTTAAGCTTAAAGCACATGAAGTCAAGCATGGTCCTAGGGATATGAAAATCTTGAAATCCATGCTTTCAGTCTATCATCATCCCTTTGATTTGTCGGCTTAAACAGGTATGAAATGGAAGTTCATATTCAACATTTAAAAGGGAGTAGGAGTGTCAAAGCTGTCTGTATTTTATTAGTTAACAGTCTTAATCTGATGCTTTTTTACACACACCTTTTTTACGCACACCTTTTGCTGCGCTGATGTGGGGCTAACACTTGAAAATTCAGCTTTGAAACTCTTTACAGTGGCTAATTTACGTTATACAAACTCAGTTGATAATACTAAGTTTCCCTGTTATACCCTCTCACCTATGCAGTAATACAGTTTCTTTAGAAACTTACTGCCTTTATTCGTATTGTTCCTTGTCTGATGTTACAAACTAAGGGAGACAAGATTAATCTTGTCTCATCAAGACATTTAATCTGCTTTTCAGAAATCTACTGGTTACCCTAATGTAGATGATACCAGATTTAAAAGTTGTCATTCTGACACATACATGTATAACAAGCAGCTCATTTTAGAATAAAATTCTACTTGTGTGAGGGATAATTTTTAGGTGATTGTAACTGCTTTTTACTTTTTCAAATTTCATTGTTTTGCATTCTAGTGTGCATACATGTACCATGTGCTGTTGCTAAGTATTGCTATTTTTGTTGGAATCTTTCAGAACCACCAACAGATTTGTCCCTATGAAGTTGTGCAGTGTCCAAGTTCCAACTGCCGTGTGTTCCTGGCAAGGAACCAGATTGAAGAACATGTGGCCATGTCGTGTCAATGGAGAATTGTTTCTTGCCAATTTTGCCCAGAAGAGTATCCAAAAGCTGAAGAACATGTGAGCAGACTTGAATAAGCCATCTTAATGTGTGGTTTGACAGACAGAAACCTGAATGCTGTTTTATTAACTTTGAACTAATAGCCATCACATTTCTTGTGCAATATCAGTATCACTACTCCTCCTTGTCTTCAACCTCTTCCCTCTAGAGGCATTTTCCATGCAAGTGTCTCCATGTTGTTTTTACTGGCACTCTATATTCCAGGGGATTTAGGTATTTGCACAGTTTGCAGTTACTGCTGTATTTTCTTCTTATAATATCAATACATCATCAAATAGACTACTGACAAGAATAACAAAAAATATTACTTAGGGGATTATTAGTTGATCCAACACCAAATTCTCCAAACTAGCATAAGAGTTGTATGGTAAACACTAAGGAGAATCAGTTAGGAGTGAAGGGGTCAATCAAACAGTACCCTCATTTCCTTGGGGTATGAATAGGTATTTGCAAACTTTTAGGGAAGTTTGTTGAAATACTTACAGTGGGATTATTCCATTATGTACTAACTCCTGTGCAACAAAAGCATGCTACTGTAAGATTAAAATGATGTTTCAGCTGTTAATTTTACTTTGTAGATTCACAATGAAACCTGTCCTATGTTCCCTCTGAACTGTTCCAATGGTTGTGGACAAGTTGTCCCAAGGGAGCAGGTAAGAGAGATGTTTAACTCAGAGTGAAGCCTTACAATAATTTCCACAGAATTTTTACAGGTCTCTTATGGTGCAGGAAAAAGTACAAGTAAGGTAGCTCTTCATCCTAAGGGTAAACTGCATTGTACCTGCTACAGCAATCCTCTTACTCTGGGGAAGAAACTGAACTCTGCGATGAACTACTCTGTTTTCCCTTTTGGTATGAAACTGTTTTGGATCAATATCAGTATCTGGGCAACTGCCCACCTACCCCTCCCCTAACTCAACAACAGTTAATTGACAACAAGTTAAGGTTAATGTAGGGTTAGGGGAGGGGTAGGTGGGCAGTTGCCCAGATACTGAAATTGATCCACTGTTTTGGGTAAAAACTCTACTGGCCCTTTCTTTTATTTTCTTAGCTTCCTGTCTGTCCTGATAAGAAAAGTGTTTATTTATGAGAGAACTCCCTGTGGATTAATTTTCCTCAATCCTTAGATACGTGCTGCCATATATCAATCAGAATACACCTCAAGGGTAGGGTAGATCGTGAAGAGACCCACCGTATATCAATCGGAATACCTCTCAAGGGTGGGGTAGATCGTGAAGAGACCCACCGTATATCAGAATACCCCTCAAGGGTGGGGTAGATCGTAAAGAGACCCAAAAGAACATCAATTGGAAACTACATACTTAGATGTATGTCAGTAGAATTGAAATCTGTGTAAATTTTTCTCTCTGTTTACATAACTATCAGCCAATGTTACCAAGCTGTCAACAAACTAATACCTGCCACTTTCCCTTCTTGTTTTTTGTTTTGGTTTTGAATATTTACCAAAATATCTACATCATAGTCATTCCTAGGGTTAGAGGAATTTTTACACACAAAACAACTTTTTTTGTTTCGTAGATGTTAAAGCATTTGGAAACAGAGTGCCACCTTACGCCAGTGTCTTGTCCTTTTCATGACTTGGGGTGCAACATGAAAGTAAGTATTACTAGTAGCACCTCTTCGGGTGTAATTTGATATAAACCACCACAGGAAATTTTTCTAATATCACCCGAGCAATTTTACCACAAAAAATCGTCCTCCTCAGACTCATTGGGTATTGTCGAAATTAGCGTCGACTTCCTCTTGAGGACTTTAAATATATTCACCGGACCTTCGGTGAACAATAGTTTAAAAAAGGGATGTAGGTCACAGCACGCTGGCGAGTACAAAGTAGCTTGTTCGGTAGAGCTTTCTACCGCTAAATTTGAAGAAGCTGAGATTCGAAGCTTCACCGAGTGGAAGACAGATTTGAATTTGTCCCATGCTCGTAGCAAATGTGAAACATGTTTCCTAATGGCCGCGTTACATTTACAGGTGGAAAGAAGAAACTTGGAAACACACGTTCGTGAAGATACGACTACTCATTTGAGCTTCGCTTGCAAGAAGCTCGCCCTACTGCAGCAAGAATTTGACGAGGAGAAAAAAACCCTTAAGAAACAACTGGACGACCTGAAAAAGGAAAACAACAATCTCTTGCTCAAAGTTTCAGCACAGGAGAAAGAAATGCATAAGAGCCAGATGGAAACTCCGATGTTTGTATGGAAGATAACTGGTTTCGGTGACATATTACACCAGGCCAAAGTTGGCCGGAACAATAAAATAGACAGCGATCCCTTTTACACTGGAAAGTATGGCTACAAGTTAAAACTCTCCGTCAATCCCAACGGCGACGGATCAGGCAGGAATACTCACCTCTCTGCGTTCGTAATCGTCATGAGAGGTGAACACGACGCAATATTGCCTTGGCCATTTAATCAGAAGGTCACATTTACGCTTATAGATCAGCAAGAGAGCCTAGACGAGCGTCAGAACGTTACTATGCTCTTCAGAGCCAATACGAAACTAGAGAACTTTGCCAGACCCACTGCAGAAGAAAACCCTGGTCGTGGGTACGCGAGATTCATGTCTCACGAGAAATTGAAAACGAGGCGGTATTTGGTGGACGACACGTTGTTTATCCAAGTTGATGTGGGACCGCCTTCTCTGTGACCCTGAAGATCCAAACATGTTTGTTCGTTAAGAACAGACGAGTTAAGTCTGTAAAAAACCCATTGTTCCAAATAAAACAGACATACCTTCTCAAAGCTTTTCAAGCTCGAAAAGAGTGGAACAATTCAGTTGAAATTCTTCTTTTTCGCTCTTTTGAAATGATCTTTATTTGCCAATTAGGCTTTATTTTTACAGTTCAAAGCACTGGCCTATAGTATTGAACTTAGTAATCAAAGAAAGTTCTTAGAGAAAAATCATGTTTCCTTTGTGGGGTCTACCTCTGTGATATCGTGGGATATAGTCTCTTATGCATCTTTGAGAGCATGGCGTCTATTAAAAACATCTTGTGACTGCAGTTCTTAATTAGAGCGCAATTTGTGTGATCAAAAGAGGCAAATATAAAGGAAATGTTGTAAATGATTTAAGGTTTATTATAATGGACAAAATTGCAATAAATAATGAAATAGTTTCTGCCGGATCAGCCCTTTTTAACTCGTGAATTGCGCGCATGCGCAAGAGCGAGTTGTAAATACGACTTGGGGAATGGCACTCGCTCGCTCGCTCGATTGGTCGATTCCTGTAAACTCTTTTTCGATTTTAGGCTTTTGAGTGCATTTGATAGTTTTTGGCGAGCAATAAACAAACGAAATGGCGACCTTTGTTGCTAAGAATAGTGGTGGGGTGACAAAGAAGCCAATGATAATCTTAAAGTAATTTTTTTTTTCGTTTTAGTTTCAACAAGCGGCGCCAGCGACTGGCAGGCATGCAAGGATTCACACTGAAATAACAGAACAACCTTCGCTTTTCATAAAATTGTAATTTACCATCCTTGAACTTGAAGACAATCCGAAGACTCATTGAAAATATTACTTACTGCGAAGCGCTCGGAGTTTACAGATGTTCAAAAGCTTTTTCTGTTTCGGCGTGAGATTGAGGACAAAATCGATCATTACGTTTCGTATCGTGTGTTTTTCCTGTGTGAAACAACAGAAGATGCCGGCGACTAACGAAATTACAAGTTAACACGAAAATCAAATAACACCTAAACAAACAATTTTAGCTACCGATTTTCAGTGAATTTTTAAAGAACAATTTTCTTCTAAGTTTCAAGACAATTTGAAGATTCAAAATACATATTACGTACTAAAATACGAAAGTTATACACCACAAAATTGATAAAAAGGCCTGAAATGAAATTCTATCTTGTTATTGATTATACGTTGCCTAGCACGTGACTAAAATCTACCTAGGCGGAGATCCAAAATGACGGTGGCAGTTCTGGCTTAGTTATATCACTCAAAACTCGTTCCCGTTTGTCTCATTTGATAAAGAGGGAATCGTTAATGTTTTCATTAAGAAAGTATTGCCTTGATTTTCTAATATTTACAATGATAGACAGTAAATTTCACTTTTCACCCACATTTACTTCCAACCTTTTCTTTTGAACCAGAAACAGAAATGATATACGTTTAAAACACATGACATCATCCACCCTTGTCAAATGCAATAGCATGATCATTTCAATTGTAATGCCTTCTTATCTCAACGTTACTTTGTTTCTTTGCTACATTAGCGAACACTGAACTACTGCTCGTATTCTAGATATGACAATCAACCACAAAATTCCCTAAACCAGATAACATTGAACATAATCCAAAAAATCATGTGTCGATTCACGAGTTTGCTCACAGAGCACTTTGATTTCCTATGAAACAAAATGGAACTTCGCTGGGTTTGTTTGTGATCCCCAAATGAGTTCATGACAGAGTCAATGAAGGAACGGGAGAGGGGGGGAGGGTCAGTTAACCCCTTCCCATCGAACCATTGGACCTATCTGACACCAACATTCTTGCAACGATAGGATCGCGTGCTATACAACATTAGTATAATTGGTTATTATAGAGGTGAGTGCGCTCTGATTGGTTAAGGATTGCGTCATATTTTGCTATAATCACATTGCTCAAAGCAACTATAGCAAGGGCGCCAAATCTCAGAATAACTGCCTCGCGTTATGTCAATGCTTCCGAGGAGGTGATAAACGTTATACAAGAAAATTTAATTGCCAAGAGCACAAAAAATGCTAAACGATTGACAGAACACTTTTTCAAAAGAATAACTTGAAGTTTTTGTTAATTACATTAAATAAGCCTGTTTAAACCGTTTGCTTATCTTAATACGGGTAATCAACATGATTGAAGCAAAATATACGCGATGCTTCTTTATTCTTACAATTTACAGCAGAATTCGAAAGCACCTGAGCAATTATATTAAAACAATTATTTCCCTCAGGCTCAGTGAACATTGTTGAATAATCCCCTTGACTTCGTCCCTGGGATTATTTAACAATATTCATTTCGCCTTCCGTGAATAATTGTTAATTATGAATTATTTATCATTTGCTTGTTTCGCAATATTTCTGAGCTTAAAGTTCGAAAGACATGTCTGTGTTTTGGAATGTTAGGAATTTTGGACCCCCTCCCCCACATCAAAAGTTCTCTCTTAGATCTGCCTCTAAAGGTGAGGTAGGAGGGGTGTGCTTTCCCCCTCCCCTCCCCCACGTCAAAAGTTCTCTCTTAGATCTGTCTCTAAAGGTGAGGTAGGAGGGGTGTGCTTTCCTCCCCCCCTCCCCCACGTCAAAAGTTCTCTCTTAGATCTGCCTCTAAAGGTGAGGTAGGAGGGGTGTGCTTTCCTCCCCCCCTCCCCCACGTCAAAAGTTCTCTTACATACATACATACATACATACATACTTTATTTATTCCAGAAGCAGATGATAACTATTATATACAAATAAAACTAAAAAGAAAATACTTCTAGAAAAGGAAGTTAAGAGGTTATCCCTGTGTAAAAACTCCCTTAAAAGAAAAGACAAAATATAAATCAAAATCATTACAATCAAATATTTAAGTACGATTTAAGTTTAGATTTAAAATGCTGAAAGCTGTCAGCTTCCACTATATCACCCGGTAACTCGTTCCATAATTTGACAATCCTAATAAAAAAGAATTTTTGTAACAATTAAGTCTAGCTGGTTTAATATAGAGTTTGTATTGATGATTTGCTCTCGTAGACCGAATCGTGGCAATATCAAAGAAGTCTTCAAAATTTAAATGATAAAAACCAAAAACTATCTTATAACATTCGACTAAAGATAAGTAAGTTCTACGGTCAGAGAGAGGGGCCATTTTAACAGTTTGCATCGGTCTTCATAGGACATTTCTCCTTTGCGTTGATTTAAAGCGAGTCTTGAGGCTCTTCGCTGTACATTTTCAAGGGCATGGATGTCCTTAACAAGGTAAGGACACCAAACAGGTACCGCATATTCCAAGATTGGCCGTACCAGAGACATGTACAGCATAGAAAAAAACATTTGTGTTAGCGGTGCCTACTGAGCGTTTAATGGAACCTAAAACTTTGTTCGCTTTATTGACAGTGATACTTATGTGATGGCCCCCCATGAAAGATCTCTAGTTAGTGTGACACCGAGATCTTTAAAATTAGTCACGTCTTTCAGGGGCTTTTCTAAGAAATAATTAGTTACCGACTTATCGCGTAAATGCGTGATTCGCATAGATTCGCATTTGTCTGCGTTGAAACGTAGCTGCCACTTACGAGCCCATGCGCTAAGATTATTAAGATCATCCTGAAGAAGCTGACTATCTTTTATAGGGTCAATTATCTCTCTGTAGATCTTCGTGTCGTCTGCATATAATTTTACTGTAGATGATAAGAATTCAGATATGTCATTAATATACAATAAAAACAATAGGGGCCCGAGAATGGTTCCCTGTGGAGTTCCGGAGGTAACGCACGACCAATCAGAATAAGATCCCCTAACGACTACACGTTGTTTGCGCCCCACCAACAAAATGTCTCAGCCAGTTGAGTAAACATTCGTCGATGCCGCTACATTTCAATTTTAAAAGCAGTCGCTCATGAGGAACGCTGTCGAAGGCTTTGGCAAGATCCAGAAAAACAACATCGGTAGGAGTGGATGAATTACGGGATTTCGCCCAGTCATTAAACGTTGATAACATTTGAGTTGTAGTAGATCTTCCTCGTAAAAAGCCAAATTGGTTGCTATTGATAAAGTCGATTTCGCGCCAGAACTTAATCATCCTATCAAAAACAATTTTTTCACAGATCTTACAAGCAATTGAAGTAAGGGAAATTGGGCGGTAATTTTCTCTCGAAGATTTGGAACCCTTCTTATGTAGAGGAGTAATGTCGGCATGTTTCCATTCCTCAGGCAAAAGGCCAAGAGACAACGATTTGTTTATCATATACGTTAACGAAGGTGCTAATTCCGAAGCACACGACTTAAAAAATGCACGGCGCGATATGGTCAGGCCCAGGAGACTTGTTGGGCTTGAGTTTCAGAAGATGGCGTTTGACCTCATTGACAGAACAATCAATTTTCGCAAGTTTCTTGTCAACAGTGCAGTCTTGAGTGGGAAAATTTGCATAATCTTCGGTAGTAAACACCGAAGAGAAATATGAGTTCATACTCTGAGCAATACTGAAGTCGTCAGTCAGAGCACATCCATCGACGCTTATAGAGATGAGATTATTAGTGCCTCTTCTCTTGGACTTAACAAAATTCCAGAAAGGTTTCGGGTTTTCATTTTCCTGTAGATCAAGTGCAAGTTTCTTTATATACGACCATCTAGCTGTGTTACAAAGTCTCTTAACAGAATTGTTGAGTTGCCGATATTTTTCCCAAATAGTTGAATTGTTTTTTTTCTGCGAGCTCTATTATACAATAATTTCTTCTTTTTGCACAAAACAATAAGTTCCTGTGTAATCCAGGGGCACTGGATCTCTTTTTTATTCTTGCGTTTGGGAATGCACTCATCCACTGCTGTAAATAACAAGTCTTTCCAGCAAGCCCAATTATGATTAATATCGCTGTCGAAGAAGGCGCAATGCCATGGAATATAAGATAACAGCGATCTTAAGTGATCCCAGTCGGCTTTACCATAGCAATACAACAACTTCTGTGATTTACGCTGGACGTAAGGTATACCAGATAACGA